ACACTGATTCTAAACTAGAACAGACATGCATGGCTTTAATTTGCCATTTGATGAGCTGGGTCTTTTCCACACTGACTCTAAACTAGAGTACACACACATCATCTGGAATGTGGTCTTCCTCTTTTCCTGCTGTCTTCTATCTTACTAAGCAGCATTATCATGGCTAGAGAGTCTCACGTCTTCTCGTGATATGGCCAAAATACAATAGAATCACTGTAATCACCGTGGTTTTGATGAGAGTTCAGGTTTGATTTGCTGTCTATCTTTTTAGCAGATCACAGCATGCACAGAACAGTTCTCCAGCAGCACATACAACATGACTTAATTGTGTTTGTTCAGCTTTTACAGTCATACATAGAAAAGGGAAATACAGTAGCATGAACAATCCTAACTTTAATATTCAGTTACACATATATCTCTACACTCCAGATTTTGTCTAGTTCATTTAGAGCCACCATTTCAAAGCCTGGTTGTCTTTGATTTCTTGATTTACAGTCTCTATTCTGATAAAAAGCCTAGCCAATATATGGGAAATCTTAAATCTTAAACTATTTTTGCATCTCCATCTACAATAGTTATTTTTATGTTGTTAAAAATGTAATCTGCCTTTGTACTTCCTTCCTTTACTTTCTTTGGTAATTGTTCCAAATCTTTGCTATTTTCTGCTACTAGTAGGATGGCATTTGCATTTGCATATTTCATGAGGGCTTCAGCTTATTCATGGAAACATTCATATCACCATCAATATTCCTCTGCCTTCCCTGCAAGTTCTGCAAGGAAATCCTATTCCTTCACTGGTTACAAGCTGTAATTCAGGAAGAAATCTCTGGTCCACATCAAATGATAGCTGTGACTTGCAAGAGAATAACAGACACTGTTGTTGCTCTGTGTTCACCACTTCATCGCCCACCATTCCAAGATAGACTTTGATGTTTCAATCATGATTGAACCACCATAATCAAGTGAACCCTTGATATCATCAGCAGAAGGTTATGCCATAGAGTTGTAGAAAACTCCCTTGCTAGGGTATATCATGTTTCTCCTCTTTTGACCATACTAAAAGGGTCCTCCTTGAAAGGGATTCTGTTTAACTTATCTCACTCGCTCATCTGCATTGGAGGAATTTTTCACTTACTACTTCATTATGTCCAAGAAAATAAAGAACTGCACACCATACTGTGTGCACCATACAGTCTTCAAAATGTCAACTTTTTTTGTCCAGCCTAGGCATTTTTTGGATGGTCATTCTCAGTTCAATCCTCCTCCTGATACAGAAGAGGAATTAGTTTACTATGCTGGAGCTAAAGGATGCATATTGTCACATTGTGGACAGGCTGTCCTACAGATATTTCTTCCCCATCACATGAGAAGATGTGTGTACCACTTCCACATTCTGCACTTTGAATTATGCCCTGGCCTGTATGTGTTCACAAAGTGCATGGTTGTTGTGATTGCCTGGCGCAGTCAACAAGACATTGACTGTTCTAAAAATGTTTTCATTTTTCAAGGTAGTTTCAGAGATCAGCACTGTGATTTTCTACCTGAACAAAAGGGTGCATCTGATTAGGTGCCCTTCTCTGTCCCACAGTGAAATTGTGGGATTAGTGCATCACACATGATAATTCTGTCTTCTGCCATCCACCTGCTGAGCGAGAAGAATACACTCACAGATGCTTTGTACCATCTTCCTGTGTCCTGTCATGAATGAAAACTGTACACAGGCACCTCTAACATAATCTTCTGCAAATGAGGACTACCAAGGATAGACCTGTAATACATCTTCTGCTCAAGGAACTCCTGCAAGACAGATTTTTACAATGAGGCATTCCTGTTTAACCACAAAGATAATGTAGTGTACTGCTTCCTTCCATTCTCCTTTATCACTAGGGTAATAGCAAGGATTGAACAGGACTCATCTCCGACGTCTTTTCAGGATCAGTATCAAAAGTTTCACCTGTTTCCAAACCAAATTCTCTGCAGTGACAGGGTAAAGCTTCCAGATTTTCTAACTCTTTATAAACTTAAAATAAACCTTGTTTCTGTTTTACCGAGTACTACTACTCCTCTGCCTCCTCCTCCCTCCGCGGCTCCCCCCTCCTGCCTCCCTGTCAGTGCAGTGGCTGTGAAGGAAAGGAAGCAAGCCCTCCTCACCTTTCCCTTCGCTGGGCGAAGAGAAAGAGGGCGAAGGAAAGGAAAGAAAGGCCCTTCAAGGCTGGAGGAAGGGAGGGAGGATTGAGGAGGGAAAGTGCCTCAGAGAGCCGTGGCAGCAAAACCCCATGAAACAGTGAAAATGTCGCGATATATATTGTAAATTAATACTTATTGAAAAACTGCAAAACAGCGAGTCCACTAAAAGCGAACCGCAAAGTAGCGAGGGAACACAGTACACCTATAAATGGACAGATTTTATTAATTCCTTAGCTTAAAGGATTCTCTCTGAAAGATGCAAGTATTGCCCACATTTTGGACTTTTTGGTTTCACATTGGTCCCTTTTCCTCTGTCAGGCATTACTTGACAATTGTATTATGGCATTTTCAACACCTTGACCTGCTTCTTGACTCCACTGGTCAAGGCATTCTTGAAGGTTTACAAAAATTTATATTCACCTGTGCTAGGGCCAGCTGCTCAGTAAAACCTAGAACTTGTACTTCTCAGCTGCCCCGAGAAATTCTTTGAACCCATGGCTTCATTTGACCCAAGGCCACTCATCTATCAAATCACCTTTCTAGTAACTGTGATCTCTGTCAGAAGAGCCATAGAGCTTTGCACTCTGCGGATGGGTCAATCTTACCTTCCCATACAGTAGTCCTGAGATTAGTCATTCAATTTTTGCCAAAAGTTGTGTCTGCCTTCCATCGAAATCACAATATTGTTCTCTCGCCATTCTATTAGAATCTAGATTTGGAGCATTTTCTACATTGTCTAGATGTTCGCAGAGTACTGGGTTTTTACATTTATTGTACTTCTTCATTTCATCAGTCTCAGATGCTTTTTCTGTATTATTCGTCTATAAAAGAGGGATTTCTTGTTTCAACAAAATGTGATTCCAAGTAGGTTGCATCAGCTGTTTTTCTGGCTTATGGTTTAGCAGGCAAACAGCCTTTTACCCAAGTGTGAAGTCACTTAACCAGACCTATTGCAGCATCAACTGCATTTCTGGAAGGGGTTCCTCCACATCTGTTCAGTGGGTTTCCATGACCAAACAGAGATTAGACCCCTTCAGAATCATAGTCCAACACTCAAACTACTGCACTATGCTGGCTCATAACTTACGACATGTTACTACATAACTGAAAGTGCTTGAACATTTATGAAGGCAATCGAAAGATGCTGAAAAAGTACTGTTCAGTATGAGAAAGGCAGGGTTGTTTTTTTTAAAAAGGTCACTCTTGTCTGCTCTTATATTATTAAAGTACTTTCCAAAACTGGGGAGGGGTGATAGTTGATTTTCTTGGTAAAAATGCTAGTTTTATTCAGAACGTGATTAATGTGTGTTTCCTTTGTATGTGTTGAAAAGAGTTATAATGTGTAAGGAGTAAACAGATTTCTGTGTAAGGAGTAAACAAATTTATAAGGCAATACACATACATTTATTATGTGTATTAAGAAAGGAGTAGACATACACTGTGAAAGAAAATGCTACAACCACTTTTAGTTGCAATTTAGGATTTACAATTCTGAAGAATGCTTTGAATGCGATTTTCCTGGTTCTTGGCAGGGGGTTGGACTGGGTAGCCCACAAGGTCTCTTCCAACTCAATGATTCTATGATTCTGCGAGGAGCTTAGAAGACTTTTAATGTCATTCCCATTATTTCTGTAGCTACAGAATTATCTGATTAGATTGTGCTGAAGATATATACTGATATGGGCATACCTATGGTGAAAATAGTAATTCTAACTTTTTTTCTGGTTTTACATTTACAAAAACAGGAATAGATTTATGTATGTCAGGCTGAAACTGTATTTAGAGTTGCCTTTGGTAGCTGTATTTTGAAAAGTGCTGATTTTGAGTTTCAGGAAACAGAGTATACATACGCTGCAGGCAGCTGTAACTAGATCTCTTAAGTAGTTGAGCCTTGCTAATTTCCTCAACCATCCACCCCTCTTAACAGTTATTAAATCTTTGAAGTGATGTTCATGTTATACCCAGTGGTTTTACAGTTACATAAAAGTAAGCAGTGATAACCTTGTGTCTGCCAATTTTGAGCTACAAAATTCAATTAAGTTTGTTTTCAAGTCTGTGTCTTGTTTTTGTAAAATAAATTGTAGTTTATATGTAAGCTTTTAAGTCTCTTTGAAGATTTAGACTGTGATCCTACACACTTACCTGGATACAAATCATGTTCAATTATTTAGCTATATATTAGATTGTATTGTTACTTTTCCAGTTTTCTTGTAGGTACTGCAAGGTACAGGCACTTTGTAATTGTGGAAAAATGAACTGTCCTAACATAATAAATTATTTTGCTTATATAGCTCACCAACAGGATTCTAGTTAAAGTGAACATCTGTCGAATTACCCCTACTTTTAACTGAATTGCCCATACCAAAGCCCAAAGGCAATACCTGGGGGGTGTCTTTGAAAGTCCATGTGAAAGAGGCCAAATAGGGCTAAAATTTGCTTCTGAATTAGCTTCTGAATTATTTCTTTGACAGGAGAAGCAAAACAAGCCAGGAACTCTTGATAATCATAGTTTACCAATTACATCTGAACTTGGAAACTTCCAGACAAGCCAAAATATGAAGTCATGGTTAAACTTTGGTCATCAGAGTCTGTCCACTGCTTGCTGGCTCCCTATCACATTCAGTACATCTAGCCTGTTAATAAGAGAAACAGAGAATGTAGCAAGAAAATGCATACTCCAACCAGAAGTATTATCTTACTTGCCAATAGTAGAATTTTCCATATTGATGAAAAGTTTTAGAGAATTCTGAATATATTTTTTTTAAAAACCTTGTGTATCATCTTCACTTGTTCTCTTCTCTCCTTTCTAACAGTTTATCTATGTATCGAGGGAATTGCAGGCCTATTCGGTTTGAACCACCCATGCTGGATTTTCATCAACAGTAAGTTGGAAATATTTTGACTAGCATTCTAAATACAAAGGCCACCAGAAATCAATGGCTGAATGAGAATCTTATATATTCTAAAGCAAATTTGATGATACTTAGTTATTAGATAACTCAAAGAAATTGGTTACTTATGGAATCAGATGAAAAGTGTGTCAGAGTTTTGTTCTTTTTGCATTGTTTTTGGCTAATACAAAATATAAACAGTAATATTTGGTTTACAATTGCTGAAATTTGTGCTCATTGTTTTCTCAAAAACTGGAGTATGTAGGGGGAAAGGTAGAAGAGTTAAAAATAGAAGGAATAAAGTACAGGCAGCCCCCAAATTATGAACAAGATAGGTTGTGTAGGTTTGTTCTCAAGTCAGAACAGATGTATTTTTAAACTTCAGCCAAATATATGTATATAAGTTTTAGATAGCATAGAGAAGGGTTAATCCCAGGTGGTGTTTGTTTTACTGTCTGTTCCCCTGTTCAGAAGATTTCACCTTGTTTCCTTGTTGTGGAAACAAGGATTGGTGATAAAGCTTCAGTGAAAACACCTTTCATCTATTTAAGAAAAAGAGAGGTCATGTTCTTTATTGACATTGTTGGTGTACATTTGTCAGTTTTCATATTGCTTTCTTTGTTCTTTTCAGCTAGAGTGTAGAATGAATTCAGTTCAGTAGTCTATATTTTCAATAATTTAATGTTGCCTAGTTCTTTATCCAAAATAAGCCTGGGGCGGGGCGGGGCGGAGGTGGCGGTAATCACCCATGGTTGTTCAAAACTCCTTCCTTTTCCTTCATGTACTGGTTTAGCATAACATTTGGGTTAGGCTGTGGTAAAGGGTGGAAAATTGGAAAAAGAGTTTGAAATCAGTGCCTACAGTTTTACTAATCTGATTTAATGTGTGTTTGTTTGTGTGTGTGTTACTGGAAAGTTGTTTGACAGTAACAATCACCATTTCTATTCCCTGAACTAAGAACAAATCTAGCTTTGGTTGAGAGTAGATATCAGGTATGATCAGGACTCATTATTTGATAGAATTATCAGATGCAACCATTTTAAAACTAGTATCTCTGGGCATTCTGTTGCCAACTGTTACTGATTGTGTTATAGTTTAATAAATGAATGTACAACTAAAACTTCTGTTGGTACAAAAGCAGGAGCCATAAAAACAACTCGGGGGGGGAGGGGGGGGGTCACACACTTTACCCAGCCATACAAATATTGAAAAATGATAATTTAGTATGATGAGCTCCAGTGAGAGCTTTTTCAATAATGGCATTATAATCTCACCTCTTAAAAAGTCCTAACCATATTCTCAGGCTTCACACACTGAAATACATCCATTGTCACAGATTACATTCTTTGAATCTGTATCTAAGTCAGATGAATCTGCAGTAGTGACCCAAAAGTACCAAGGAGCACCCCTTACTTTCAAAGTTGCATTATGAGTGGAAATTCATTGTGTTCCAAACGATATAAAAAGAGACGGGGTAAAAAAGATTTTCACTAGGACTTAGAAATATATTTTCTGATTTGCTAGGAACTTAACTTCATGTCAAACTTGCGAGTTACATGTTAGCCATTGTTTTACAGCAGAGTATGTGATTGTTGAATATTGAAGGCTGTGTGAACTTTTCTTCTAAAGATTAATTTTCCAGCCATTAAAATAAATCAACAATATGGTCCACACTGTATTTCCTGCAACTGAGAGAAACAGCACCCAGTCGTCTAGGTTTAGACTTTTATATCCTAAAGTAAAGAATGAATGAGGACAGCAGCCACAATGCTGAATTCTAGGCACGAGAGTCATAAGCTACAGTGTTATTTTTCCCGAGCGGAAAATGCAGCAGTGATAGGGATGCTTCATGTACCCACAGTCTCTTTGTGGAATTCATTCCAGAAACAAGCACTCTACTTTTTACTTTTTTGAGCCTCAGTCCACTCCATTGATCAATTCAAAGTTAAAAGGTAGGGTATAGAATCTTCTGTGAATAAAATTGTTTGCAATCTATCAGCAAAAGATAAACATTAAGATACAGTTGCAAACACTAATCTAAAAATAATCCTATTTGGTTATTTTTATTTAAGTGGTTAGATATTCTGGAGTAATATAACATGTTATGTTTGCTTGCTATGAAATAACAATGTAAACAGTTATAGGGCGGTGGGATTTCAGAGATGCTGAATATACCAGAACAAATTTTCTTAGGTTCTTGATCTAGTAAATTATCCTCAACTGCAACCATAATATTTTAAAAGTAACAAAATACAAAATATTACTAATTGTCTTTGTTCTTTTCGCACAGGCCAGTTGGGATGCCAAAAATGGAAAAAGTTTATTTGCACAATCCTAGTTCAGAAGAAACTATTATATTAGTATCAATATCTGCAACAACCTCCCATTTTCATGCATCTTTTTTTCAAAACAGGGTGAGCCAGCTCTGGTTTTTCATGCTAATTTGCAAACTTATTTCAACTCAGCATAATAGAATTTAATTCAGAATCTACTTGCCAAACTACAGTATATCTTGTCACTGAAAATAGCTTGACTTTCAGTGCAAGCTTATTGCAGATACTCATGTGGAAGATCATAAGTCAGATGAGGGTGGGTTTTGGAGCCAAAATTATAGATTTTGCTGCCATTCATGAATAAGTCAAAAGTTGAATTTAAAGGCATATCTAGAGGGGGTGAAATTTAGAAGCACATTTAACTTAAGTACTCACAAGCGAGAATGTGTATTTGGGTATGGATGTATGGCAGATCATATCTCCTGGTTTGAAGCAGTCTGGGCCCTGAGATCCTCAGGAGCGGCCCTTCTCTAAGTCCCATCTCCAAGTCCCATCTCCATCACAAGCACGGTTGGTGCAGACTTGAGAGAGAGCTTTCTCAGTTGCTGCCTCTCGACTGGAACACTGTCAGGGGAAGCCAGAGTGGGTCCCTCCTCATTGTTCTTCTGGTAGCAGGTTAAATCCTTTCTTTATAGGCAGACTTTAAAAAAAATTAAAATGCTGTGAAGTATTTTGGGTGTATGAATGGGTTCGTAATGGTTTTAAACTATTTATTTTTAATAGTTTCAGTGTTTAATCCTATTTTAATGTTTGTGTGTTTTTAGATTTTAAATTATATTGTATTGTTTTTATAGAGATTGTAAGGTTGAAATCAAGAAACTATCAAATCAACCATTTGTAAGCTGCTTTAGACCCTTTTGCCTGCATGCTGAGGGTTAAATACACTAAACAAATTAATAAATATGTACCTTAAAATTTCATGGAAATTGTTTTTTTTCTGGGAGATTTTGTACTCAGGGCAGTAAATGTTTCAGGGTGTTAAGTCCTATTAATAAGAATGAATCATTGTAACCTGAAAAGACAGCTGGTTATGCATTGCAAGCTGAGATTCTGGGTCTGGCTATAATCCACAGATCTAGCTGTTTCTAATTATTTCAAGTGTCATGTTTCCATCCAGTGGAATTCTAAGATTTGTAGTTTGGTGAAGTACTTTGGTAAGGTATTTTAGGATAAACCTAAATGTAGTAATTTTAGTTTCTCCTAAAGAGAAATTAAAATTACTAATTCCACTGTTAATACTAGTTGCATTGATATTTTCATTTCCCTAAAGAAGGACTTGGAGCACAATGCTTGCTATCATAACAATCACAGATATTTTTCACACATCAGTCCTCTTTTAATTGCCAGGTTGCAGGCTTTAAATACTTAAATTTCTCAGAATAATAACATGTCATGATGTCTATGATGTTTATTTTTCAGAAAATTCTCCCAGGAGGGAATACATCTTTTGATGTAGTTTTTCTTGCAAGAATGGTTGGAAATGTAGAAAACACTTTATTTATTAACACATCTAATCATGGAGTGTTTACTTACCAGGTAAGAGGAAATGTCATACAGTATTAGCCATGCATTGAGCAGTAAATTGAAAATTGTGTGATTTGGTCATTGTTCAGCAGAGGTCTCTAAAGGCAAGGTTTTAAACTAAAGGTAATAGCTGTATGTGAGAGACTCTGTTCAGTAATCCTGTTATGGATTCCAAATATTGAGCATAGAATGAGATATTGTTCAACTGCAGTATGCTGTAACAACATTTGATATTATGATATAGCAGTAACTGAACAATGACTATTTCATAAACATATTTCAATATTTTGTATATCATGATTTAGCTTTTAAAGGTACAATCCCATAAGCTCAGATGCTAAGGTTCTGTGTAATAAATAGATCTAGTAGATAGTAAATCATTTTCACTGTTAAAATGCGTTAGTGATGTATGCTTGATTTCGGAGGGGTGAAGATTGATCATACAGTGGCAATCCATAAATTGGTTTTAAGCATTGATAATATTAAATGAGCACATGGGATAGGATTATTTAAATAGCAAAGTAATTTTGACAGGATCAAGTTTTTCAGGGTTTTTTTTTAAAAAAAATCGTATGAGAAGTGCTAACATAAACATAATGCTGTACTATTTTTTTTAGGGACAATGTTAAATGAGTAATCTTAGTAAAACAATAACTATAGTATCCCAGATAACTTGGATAAAGATATGGAAAATGTCAGTGGTTTAAATATATTCTATGCTGTAAAAAGATTTGAATCTAAATGGAGGACAACAACTGTATTTTGAGAGAATCTTGTTCTGTGATTATCATTTATATAAACAATAAAAGGCAGGAAAATTACATATTTTATTTTAACAGCTTGTTTAAGCATACATCATACAATGCAAAGACAAGCCTGTTGGGAGAGAGTCTCTTTTCTGTCAAGATTATTTGGGTTTTAAAGATAGAAACTTGAAAGTAAGTACACACAACATGCTAATGAAAAGTGTCTTTCTTTCTTTTTTTTCGTAAATAGGTGTTTGGTGTAGGAGTACCAAACCCCTATAGGTTGCGCCCTTTTATTGGGGCAAAAGTTCCAGTAAACAGTAGTTTTTCTCCTATAATAAATATACACAATCCCCACAGTGAGCCTTTGCAGGTAAGTAAAAACAAATTAACATTTATTATTATTTCTTAAAGGAAATATGTTTTAATACTTTTACTGTATTTTCAGACCTTCTCCCAGTTTTTGAATTTGGATTGGAATGTTATTCTTACTGTTTTCTGTTGTTAAAATATTTGCATTAATCATAGTCAGTTATTATTGACTATGGTTTTCCGGTTCCGGTATGGCGGTCAGCAGCAGCAGCAACGCTGAGCTACGCTGACAAAAAAGAACAATCCTAGGGAATCCCCCCTCCCTGACCATCGAATTGAGGAGGGGTGAGTTCAACACTTGCTACGGTCTTGTTAGACCAAAAAAAGAGCTTGAAGAGCTAAAGGAGCCGAGAGGAAAAAGCCGAGAGAAAGGGCCAGGAAGGCGGAGGAGGTAAGGAGCGCCGCCATTACAACGCGGCCAGCTCCCTTCTCCCGTCACAAAGAACCTACCTGTGGAGGTCGGCCGCCCTTTGGACCGTTCCGGTGTGCTGCTCCCGGTACTAGGGCGCTGAGGTGCCCGCTGGTGGACCCCCTTGTTGCCGCCTGGGTTGCTGCCGGCTGCCGGCGGTTGCCGAGCCTTTTGCTGAGCGCCGCCATCTTGCGGCTGATAGATCAGCGATCTCGCGGCTGGGGGGGGCAAGCCGGGACCTTCGAGACCATCTGGACTGGCCCCGCCGCTCGGGCCTTTTGCCCTCGCCCCCTCGCTGGAGCCGAGTGGGGCCGCAGCCGCGAAGGCGTCGTCCCAGCTGGACCTCACTGTTTGGACCCCGAGGTTGCCGCCGACGCGGGCGCCGCCTCGGCCGAGGCCGCCGCCGCCTGGATTTGCTGCGCGACCCTGGGGCCTACCCTGGGGCCTACCACGCAGGCTGCTGCGCTGTGGTGCCTGCTGGTGGACCCCCTGCTGCCACCTAGGCCGCGGCTGGCTGCCGGCTGCTGCTAGGCCTCTGCTGGATGTCACCATCTTGTAGCTGCTGGCCCTTGTGTTCTAGCGTCTGGGAGGAGGCGACTGCTGGAGGAAGTGGGGCCCATCGAGACCACCTGGGCCATCCTCCCCCGCCCCCCGCCGGGTCGTCTAGGGCGGCTGAGGGGCTGCCGCCGCTGTGAACGTCGCCCAGCTGAGACTTCGGCTGCCTGAATCCCCGGGGCGGCTGCTGACGCGAGCATTACCCAGCCGGGGCCTCGGCCACCTAGATCTGCCGCGCAGGCCTGGGCCTATCGCGTGGGCTGCTGCGCGGCGGGCATCGTCCGACGTCGCTGCTCCTCCCAGATTGGGCCGACCATCTGAGCCTGTTTTGAACGCTGGACCCTGCCACCCAGCTTTTGTGAGCGGGCCGGAATTGGGCCCTGGGCTATTGAGCTGGCCCCTGGCCACCTGGCCCTCCACCATTTTCCATCACCATTTTCCATCATCTGCTGGGCAATGCAATATGTAGACCTCTTTGTGCTGACCTATGTGTTGACCGAAATTGTGTAGACCTTCCTGTGTGTTGACCGAAATTGTGCTGACCGAAATTGTGTAGACCTTCCTGTGCTGTTCTTTGCTCTGTGTTGATCGATATTGTGATAGACCAATTGTGCTGACCACAGCCGAGTTAACCATCTCCGGAAGACTGAAGATCTATCCGCTGTCTAACATCAGCCATCCATAGATTACATCTTGAATCATAAGAATCTTACTTAATTGCTATTGCTGTCAACCTCTTAATAGTGTGTTTACATATTACCAACATAGTACGTTCCTTGTTTGCCTTCCGCTGTTAATTGGTATAAGAACGTTAAGATAGCACCAAGGCGCCTGCCTATCTGCTGCTAAACTGTACTAGTATTGTGCCCTCTCTACCCTCTATGCCGCACTTTAGTTAGCGTTGGGAGCCAGATTTGGGTATTGTTGCACTTTATGATCCTTGCACTTTATGAATCTGCCCAACGGCACGCAGATATACTACCGACTGTATTGCACTTTAAGACTCTGCACTTTAATAATCTCTAACTGTTAATTGTTGTGGCTGAACCACTCAACATCATCGGGGCTACTATTATCCATGTGGTCCCCCATCCCCCTATTTGTGTTGCTCTTGCTTTTAGTGACCAGTGGAAGGGACGGAAGAAGTGGGCTGGAGCCTGTGAACAATAATGAGGCGGGGAGGGGGGAGGAGGGGAAGCAAGGGAGTTGGCAGGGACCAACAAACCAAACATCTAATGAAACAGATATTAAGACCCTGGTTTGGGACCGCGGCATGGAGGGGGGGAGGTGTTCCACTAGCCGGGGGGCCCCCATAGAGGTCGTGGTGGGAAGGAGGAGATGCGGAAAAAGGAGACCTCGAATTCGGCCTAATTCGGACCGCTTATCAAATTAATAACCCCAAATCGGTCTCCTAAGGTAAATTGGTGTAACCAGGTGAGCGGGCCCTCTGGATTGAAGGTGGTGCTGCTGAACGCCAGATCTGTCAACGGAAAAACGACCTTTATCCAGGATTTAATCCTGGACGAGCGGGCAGATCTGGCGTGCATTACGGAGACCTGGTTGGATGAAGCTGGGGGAGTGAATCTGACCCAGCTTTGTCCTCCAGGTTTCTCCGTACAGCACCAACCAAGATCCGGAGGACGGGGAGGCGGGTTGCAGTGGTCTATAGAGATTCCATCCATCTGACCAGGAGCCCCATCCCGCAGACCACACATTTTGAATGCGTCCACCTAAGGGTGGGTGACCGGGACAGAATAGGGATTCTGCTAGTGTACCGTCCACCTCGCTGCACTACAGTCTCCCTACCTGAGCTAGCGGGGGTAGTCTCGAGCCTGGCGTTGGAGTCTCAACGGCTTTTGGTGCTGGGAGACTTCAATATCCATGCCGAGGCGACCCTCACAGGAGCGGCTCAGGACTTCATGTCTGCCATGGCAACCATGGGGCTGTCCCAACAAATATCTGGCCCCACCCATTGTGCTGGACACACATTGGACTTGGTTTTCTGTCAGGGATGGGAGCAGGGTGGCGGTGTGGAGGAGTTGTCTATCTCTCCGTTGCCATGGACCGACCACTTCCTGATCAGATTTAGGCTCACTGCGCCCCCTAACCTCCGCAAGGGTGGAGGACCCATTAAGATGGTCCGCCCCAGGAGGCTTATGGATCCGAACGGATTCCTGATGGCTCTTGGGGATTTTCCCGCCTCCGCGGTAGGTGATCGTGTCGAGGCCTTGGTCGCTCTCTGGAATGGGGAGATGACCAGGGCAATTGACACGATCACTCCGGAACGTCCCCTCTCAAGTAGCCGAGCTAAACCAGCCCCTTGGTTTACTGAGGAGCTGGCAGTGATGAAGCGAAGGAAGAGGGAACTGGAGAGCGTGTGGCGTTCAGACCCAAGCGAGTCAAATCGAACACGGTTTGTGTCCTTTTTAAGGGCATACGCCGCGGCAATAAAAGCTGCAAAGAAAACCTTCTTTGCAGCTTCTATTGCGTCTGCTAAGAACCGTCCGGCGGAGTTGTTCCGGATTGTCAGAGGTCTTTTAACTCCCGCCACTTCAGGCGGGAGCCCTGACAATTCGGTCACGCGCTGTGAAGCATTTGCTCGGTTCTTTGCAGACAAAGTCGCTTTGATCCGTTCTGAGCTGGACACCATGTTAAATGCAGTCTCTGTGGATGTGACACGAGCACCTGCTTGTCCTATTTTGTTGGATTCTTTTCAATTGGTGAAACCCGAGGATATGGACAAGATACTTGGAGGAATGAGGCCTACCACGTCCATCCTAGACCCCTGCCCATCCTGGCTTCTGAAGGAGGCCAGAGGGGGATTGGCTGAGTGGGTAACGGTGGTGGTTAATGCCTCCCTTCGGGAAGGCAAGATTCCAGCGTGCTTAAAACAAGCAATTATAAAACCGCTGTTGAAGAAACCATCATTGGACCCCACTAAATTCGACAACTTTCGGCCTGTTTCCAATCTCCCCTTTTTGGGCAAAGTCATGGAAAGCGTGGTGGCCTCACAACTCCAGGTATTCTTGAGAGACACGGATATTCTGGATCGGCACAGTCTGGTTTCAGACCGGGACATGGTACCGAGACGGCCTTGGTCGCCTTAGTGGATGATCTGCTCCGGGAGCTCGACAGGGGGAGTGTGTCCCTGTTGGTGCTCCTGGACCTCTCAGCGGCCTTCGATACCGTCGACCACGGTATCCTTCTGGGGCGCCTTGCGGAAATGGGTCTTGGGGGCACTGCTTTGCAGTGGCTCCAGTCATTTCTGGAGGGTCGTACCCAGAAGGTGTTATTGGGGGACTCCTGTTCAACACCACAGCCTTTGACCTGTGGGGTTCCACAGGGTTCTATACTGTCCCCCATGCTGTTTAATATCTACATGAAGCCGCTGGGTGAGATCATCCGGAGTTTCGGGGTGCGGTGTCATCTGTACGCAGATGATGTCCAACTCTGTCACTCCTTCCCACCTGCTACTAAGGAGGCTGTCGAGGTCCTGAACCGGTGCCTGGCCGCTGTAATGGTCTGGATGAGGGCGAACAAACTGAAATTAAATCCAGACAAGACAGAGGTACGCCTGGTCAGTCGCAAGGCCGAACAGGGTATAGGGTTACAGCCTGTGCTGGACGGGGTCGCACTCCCCTTGAAGGCGCAGGTTCGCAGCTTGGGTGTGACCCTGGATTCATCTTGAGCCTGGATCCCCAGGTTTCAGGGGTGACCAGGGGAGCATTTGCACAGCTTCGGCTCGTGCGCCAGCTGCGCCCGTATCTTGGGAAGTCTGACTTGGCCACGGTGGTACACGCTCTGGTCACATCCCGCCTTGACTACTGCAACGCTCTCTACGTGGGGCTGCCCTTGAAGACGGCCCGGAAGCTTCAGCTAGTCCAGCGCGCGGCAGCCATGTTACTAACGGGAGCGGGACGCAGGGAGCATACAACGCCCTTGTTGGCCCAGCTCCACTGGCTGCCGATTTGCTACCGGGCCCAATTCAAGGTGCTGGTGTTATCCTACAAAGCCCTAAACGGTTCCGGCCCAAAATACCTTTCAGACCGCATCTCGGCCTATGAGCCCACGAGGGCCTTGAGATCATCTGGGGAGGCCCTTCTCTCGATCCCGCCCGCCTCACAGGCACGCCTGGCGGGGACGAGAGAGAGGGCCTTCTCAGTGGTGGCCCCCCGGCTGTGGAACGCCCTCCCTGTTGACATCAGACAGGCGCCCTCCCTCATGGCTTTTCGTAAGAGCCTAAAGACCTGGCTATTCGAGAAGGCATTTAATTGAGAGCCACACGAATCTGGCAATGACACTTGGAACGGACTACGGACTATGAGATTGGCTACTGATTCTATGTTGTGATGGCGCGGATTTTTTAGTGTGATTAGATTAATGTGTAATTTGACTGTTGATATATTGTATGTTTTGTAGACTGTTTTTTACATGTTGTACACCGCCGCGAGTCGCCCCAGGGCTGAGAGCGGCGGTCAACAAATGAAGTAAATAAATAAATAAATAAAATTACTGTGAGAAACTGTGTTAGATGAAGTACAGTTGACTCCATAGAATCTTAGGATCATAGAGTTGGAAGAGACCTCATGGGCCATCTAGTCCAACCCTCTTCCAAGAAACAGGAAAACCGCATTCAAAGCACCCTCGTCAGATGGCCATCCAGCCTCTGCTTAAAAGCCTCCAAAGAAGGAGCCTCCACCACACTCCAGCGCAGAGAGTTCCACTGCTGAACAGGTCTCACAGTTAGGAAGTTCTTCTTCCTCTTCAGGTGGAATTTCCTTTCTTGTAATTTGAAGTCATTGTTCCATGTCCTAGTCCCCAGGGCAGCAGAAAACAAGCTTGCTCCCTCCTCCCTATCCTATGATTTCCCCTCACATATTTATACATGGCTATCATGTCTCTTTTCAGCCTTCTCTTCTGCAGGTTAAACATTCCCAGCTCTTTAAGCCACTCTTCATAGGGCTTGTTCTTCAGATCCTTGATCGTTTTAATTGCCCTCTTCTAGAAACATTCCAGCTTGTCAACATCTCCCTTCAGTTGTGGTACCCAGAATTGGTATTCCAGGTGTAGTCTGACCAAGGCAGAATAGAAGGGGGTACCATGATTTCCCTGGAGACATACCTTTTTTTAGTTCACAGACTTTATATAGATAATTGATTATTTTTTATTGGTAAAAATAAAATATAATTGTATATTTAAGCAAGTAAGAGATCTTAATAGATTTGCTGTCGTTTTAAGAGTAAACAAAATACAGATTGTTAATTATTTGAAGAGCCTTTCCTCCTAAAATATGGAGGATTACTAAATATGTTGCTATAATCTGAATGGTAGATATATTTAATACCTCCACACTGAAAAAGCAGTGGCACTAAGATTTTTACAAATCCTTTTGTCACAAAGACTGTTTCTTCCATAAGTGCTTCAGTGTGTCAGATTTGGGGGGACCTGTATTGTCAAAAATTAAACTATAATTTTATTTTTGGCTAATTTTTCAGGTAGTAGAAATGTATTCAAGTGGAGGAGATCTCCACCTAGAACTTCCAACTGGCCAACAAGGAGGCACACGAAAATTATGGGTGAGTATACATATGTTAGATTTTTCATACTGAGGTGTTACATTATTACAAAAATAGTCCTGCTGCATCTTTAAAGACGAATGAATTTATTTTGGCATATGTCTATGTGGATCAGAGCATCAGCAGAGCATGAAATGTTATCTTCAGCAGTTCATAATATTCTTCCCTTCCCCTACCCCCCTACATCTACTCGAATTCTCTTGGAGTAAGTAATTTACAGCAAACCACCATTACCATATACATCTGGGAGAAACAAATTACAGTTCTGGGGTTACATGTGCCTGGCTAGGGAAGTTTCTATCGCTCTCACCTTGAAACGTTATTCACTTATAATATAGACTTTAGTTCAAGTGATGATGGTTAAATGTTACAAGTGTTGATGGCTTTTCTTCCAAGACTTTCTCCCATTGAGTTATACTTCTCAAATTTTAATTCTCTTCAGACATTATGAGGCAATGGGTCTTAATGTTGGATCATTGTTTTCATTAGCTCCCTCCTCAGAAAACACCCACAAAAACTCAATTCACAGTGAGACAAAACAAAGCAACTACGTTATTGCATTTGGCTGAGAGTAAAGAAGAATCTCCCTTGATAACTGCTCTTGCTAAAAAGTATCCTAAGTTGAAAGACAAAGTTTCTGTACTGCATGGGGAGTACATATGACTTGTAACCTGTTAAGAGTTTGTTTCATTTGTGGCCTTTCATCTTATCCTCATCAGACTGACTTGTATAAACAATTGTTACTTGCCCAATTAAAAGTATAGATGGTCTATAAATTCTATGTAAGACTTGCTAATTTTTGAATCTGCTTGAGGAACCTGCACAGTTGGAATATGCTGCATAATTACGGCATATTTAGGATATAAACAAAGAAAATACTGAAGAGTGCACACTCTTCAGTATTTTCTTTGTTTATATCCTAAATATGCCGTAATTATGCAGCATATTCCAACTGTGTTGTAAATGACTTTGCGATCCTTTTCTTATGTTGCCTTATTAATTTTACACCATTTCCGTTTTTTAATAGGAAATTCCCCCCTATGAAACAAAAGGAGTTATGAGAGCCAGTTTTTCTTCAAGAGAAGCAGATAATTACACAGCGTTCATTCGAATAAAAACAAATGCCTCGGATAGTACAGAGTTTATCATTCTTCCAGTAGAAGTAGAAGTCACAACAGGTTTGTGAAGATGTAATGTTTCTCTGCTCCATGTATTTCTCTGCTGCCGTAGGGGGAATGACTTACTTGTTTGTCCTTTCTTAAAGCCCCGGGAATTTATTCTTCGACAGAAATGCTGGATTTTGGTACATTACGAACACAAGGTAAGACCTGTATTTGAATATTCAGAAATTCCACACTGAGTAGATCACTTACTTGTAAAATAAATTATTAAGTATAGCATGTACCTGTTTGTAATTTCAGTTCAAGAGGTAAAACACAGTGCCACATCACCACAATACGTATATAGAGATGGAAGTGAGGAAAATGTATGCTTGTTTTTTGTTTTGTTTTGGGTTTTTGTTTTTTGGGAGCTCAGCATGCACGCTCTTGGAGCACACAGAGACCACAGCAGTTGTTCGACTAGTGTGTTGGGTGCCAGTAGTTAATATACAACTTTTAGCTGTGAAGAACCATAGAAATGATGTCGAATAAAGAAAGCAGCATGTGGCATTGAAGAAAAGATGGAACAAGAACCATTTCCATTTTTTCCAGCTGCTCCTATATTGCATTTGTTTACTTTTAAATCTTACATAGAATGGTTGAGCCAGTTGGAATTAAAAATTGGATTTTAACCAGATTCTCTTTTTGAATCTCAGTCTGAATTGACTTTTCAAAAAAGTGGGGCTACTATATATCCAGTCATCATTAGTAATCACACTAGAGACAGGCATGCAGAGGATTTTTCAGAAACTGCTTACAAGTTCTTGTGGGTTTTTTCGGGCTATATGGCCATGTTCTAGAGGCATTTCTCCTGACGTTTCGCCTGCATCTATGGCAAGCTTCCTCAGAGGTGAGGTCTGCTGGGGCTGGGAAAAAGGGGTTTATATATCTGTGGAATGACCAGGGTGAGACAAAGGGCTTTTGTAAGTGGGGCTAGGTGTGAATCTTTCAACTGACCACCTTGATTAGCATACAATGGGCTGACTGTGCCTGGAGCAAACTCTTCTTGAAAGGTGATTAGATGTCCCTGCCTGTTTTTCTCTCTGCTGTTTTAATTTTAGAATTTTTTAATACTGGTAGCCAGATTTTGTTCATTTTCATGGTTTCTTCCTTTCTGTTGAAATTGTCCACATGTTTGTGGATTTCAATGGCTTCTCTGTGTAGTCTGACATGGTGGTTGTGAGAGTGGTCCAGCATTTCTGTGTTCTCAAATAAAATGCTGTGTCCAGGTTGGTTCATCAGGTGCTCTGCTATGGCTGATTTCCCTGGTTGGAGTAGTCTGCAGTGCCTTTCATGTTCCTGGATTCTTGTTTGGGCGCTGCGTTTGGTGGTCCCTATGTAGACTTGTCCACAGCTGCATGGTATACGGTAGACTCCTGCAGAGGTGAGAGATCCCTCTTGTCCTTTGCTGAACGTAGCATTTGTTGGATTTTCTTGGTGGGTTTGTAGATTGTTTGTATGTTGTGTTCCCTCATCAGCTTCCCTATGCGTCAGTGGTTCCCTTGATGTATGGCAGGAACACTTTTCCTCTGGGTGGATCTTCATCTTTACTCTCGTGGCTTGTTCTTGGTCTTGCAGCTCTTCTGATGTCTGAGGTGGAGTATCCATTGGCCTGGAGAGCCCAGTTGAGGTGGTTCAGTTCATCTTGGAGGAGGTGGGGTTCGCAGATTCTTTTTGCACGGTCTGCCAAGGCTTTATGGTGCTTCTTTTTTGACTTGGGTGATGGTTGGAGTTTTTATGTAGATATCTATCTGTGTGTGTGGGTTTTCTGTAAACGGTGTGACCCAATTGTTGATCTGGTTTGCGGATGACTAGGACATCTAGAAAAGGCAGTCTTCCTCCCTTTTCTTTTTCCATAGTGAACTGGATGTTAGGGTGGATGCTGTTAAGATGTTCCAGGAACCTGTTGAGTTCTTCTTCTCCATGGCTCCAAATGGTGAAAGTGTCATCTACATATCTGAACCATATAGTGGGCTTTTTGGTTGCTGTTTCAAGAGCTTGTTTTTCAAAGTGTTCCATGTAGAAGTTAGCTATGACTGGGCTGAGAGGGCTCCCCATAGCTACTCCATCTTTCTGTTCGTAGAATTCATTGTCCCACTGAAAGTAGCTGGTGGTGAGGCAATGGTGAAACAGCGCCGTGATGTCTTCTGGGAACCTCTGGTTGATGAGTGCCATGGTGTCTGCAACTGGGACCATGGTAAATAGAGACACCACATTGAAGCTGATCAGTTTGTCATTTGTATTTAGCTTGAGATTGCTGATTTTTTCAATGAAGTGGGCTGAGTCCTTGATGTAGTGTGTTGTGAGCCCAATGTGGCTTTGTAACTGTGCAGCAAGAAATTTGGCTAAGTCATATGTGGGGGACCCAATGGCACTCACGATTGGTCTGAGTGGGGTGGAGTCCTTATGGATTTTGGGGAGTCCATAAAGCCTGGGTGGAAGGGCTTCCGATTTACATAGCTGCTGTCGTATGTCGAAGTTGATTGAGGAGTTTTTAATTAGAGTGTTGGTTTTTCTGGTTATTTTGGAAGTTGGGTCTTGCTTAAGTTTTCTGTATATAGTAGGGTCCAGGAGTTTTCTGATCTTCTCCTTGTATTGTTCTGTATGCATGATGACTGTGGCATTCCCCTTGTCTGCTGGCAGAATGAGGATATCAGGATCTGAATTTAGGTCTCTAATGGCTTGTCTTTCCTTCCTAGTAATGTTACTGGAGGGAAGTTTTGCCTTTTTCAGGATCCTTGCTGTTTCTGCTCGTACTTCTTCTGCTTCCTCCTCGGGGAGGCGATAAATTGCTGATTCGACATTGGCAATGATGTTTTCTACTGGGATCCTGGTGGCGGTTACAGCAAAGTTTCCTCCTTTCGCTAGTATGGATACTTGGTCTTCAGAGAGTTGTCTGTCTGTCAGGTTGATGATGGTCCGTGATGTATCCAGTTCTGGTTTCGGCTGTTGCTTTTGGCGTTTGTGGAATTTTTGTTTTTGTCTGTTGGTGTGGACAGCCATGTTTTTCTCCATTTTCCTGTAAGTGAGGTTGTCTATTTTGTCCCAGTCCTGGGAATTCATCTTCTGGCTGATGTTGATATGGAGGTGCAACAGTTCCTTGTCTGTGTTTGCGAGTTCTTTGTGGATGGAGTGAATTCTCTCTCGTAAGAGATTGCGTTCCAGGCGGTCATAGATCCGGTGAGCCTGTGGTGTTTTGAAAGTCCTTTTGGCTGCGAGAAATTGTGGGATGGTATCTGTGTCTCTGCAGCGTAGAAGGAAAGTCAGGGAGCACAGTAGATGTGCTTTCCTGGTCCTTAGTTTTTCCAATTTTCGTGTGTCTTGGAACAGTTTCTCCCCGTAGAGATGTTCAATGTATTGTCGATATAAACCCCCTTTTTCCCAGCTCCAGCAGACCTCACCTCTGAGGAAGCTTGCCATAGATGCAGGCGAAACGTCAGGAGAAATGCCTCTAGAACATGGCCATATAGCCCGAAAAAACCCACAAGAACTGAGTGATTCCGGCCATGAAAGCCTTCGACAATAAACTGCTTACAAATTAATGACTGTCATTCTGTAATGTAGTAGTTAAATAAATTACTTACTTTGGATAATTGTACTAAATATCTCATTCTAAAATGTTACTTTAAAAGAGTTCAGTTTAGTGCCTTAGTTCCTTTTTATTGGATTTTAACAGATCTGCCCAAAATTTTAAATCTACACTTGTTAAATTCAGGGACAAAGGATGTACCAATAACAGTAAGTCTAATTTTATATTCTCATTATACACTGCAATTTTTTTCTGTGCATCTAAAAGAGCATGAGGGATAAGATGTCAAAAACTGAGTTCTGTTTAGTGACTCCCATTCGCCCAGTTGCATTCTGATCCACATGTTGCTCATATTTGTAGTATTCAGAAATATTCAATGGGTAAGTCGGTACAGGGTTTTTTTTTATTGATTTTTAAACTAACATTTCTAAACTTGTACATATATTTTTGGGGTTGATGCTTTTCTTCCCTCTCTATAACTTTGCTAGTTTAATTGGAAACTGATATACAATTCTGTGAGCTGAGATCAGACTCAGAGACATATAAACATATTCCACGAAGTCTGGTATATCACTAGTTTTGCTTTTATAATATCCAGTGGTAAAATTGTTCTTATAAAAATATAATATGTATAACCTATATAACCACAAACTTTTTGAAGGGGCATTAACATGTAATCAGTCTGCAGATGTTGATTGCAGGCTTCAAGAATCAGAATTTTAGCCTGTTCCCTATTTTCTGGGTTATATAGAATACTGAAAAAAAGTGTATTCTACACTCTGAACTGTTATGCCCATGGCAAAGAGCATAAGAACTGGAATCATTAATATTGATCAATGCTGCACCTCAGAATTGTGGGTGATTCTGCTTGGGGGCCTCATTCTTTATCCTTCGATAATAATACACTACTGAGCTGGAGATAATAGAGTCAAGGCACTAGTGTTATATGAAAACTGTACCCTATAATGTTTACCCCAATTCTTGCTTAAGGAATATTGGCTACATATCTATGATCTAATACTTCAAAGTCCTAATTCTTTGATTACTGCTCAGATTTCTGTTCTTGCTATAAAGTCATCTTTGGGAGTTAGGAGAACATCAGGCATCAATGGAAGGCTAAAGTATTTTCTTCATGTTTCCATGTAAACACAGAGCTCTGGTGGAGGAGGATAGAGTTCAACACCAAAGGAGTAGTTCTGGAGTGCTCTTCCAACAGTTTAGAGGCAAGGAAGAAACTTCATGTGAATGTCATGAGAAAGGCCAAGACTATATTTAGCAGAAATCTAATCTAGATATTCGTAGAACTAAATTCCTTCAAGACTCTCTAATATTATTGTTGCCAATTACTATAGGAATAAAAAAAAGCTTTTGTATAGCCTTTCCATATTGAGTCCTATGAAAAAATGCTCAGATTTAAAAGGAAAATAAAAGTAGATGATATTGAAAAGCTACAAAATGTTAGAGTTTTTCTGTTTGTGTTCAAGAAGACTTTAGCTTTTCTTTACATTTGCACTGTGAGTATCCCTTAAAATTAATGTGCTTTTTTACTGCATGTTCATTCTTATGCGCTCGTTGTGGAGAGAAATCTAAAAATCTTTTGAGCAGATATCTTTTCAGACAGCCGGTCTGCTTTTTAAAGGCCTGCATAGAACCTGGAATGTTTAATATTTTGAGATCCGTATTTTTTTCCAGCAGTAATCTGTTCTGTCAATTCATAGTACTTAGAATTTCAGTTGTTTGATGACAGAAACTAGTGTGACACTAACAGAACTTCTGAAACATTTGTTTTACCTTCTCTCTGAAACCCTTCATGTTTTTGCATTATATAAAAAGAAAATTTTCCACTGTGTAGCAAGATTTGTTTTGTTGTTGCAGTGCTGCAAATTCTGTGGCACTCTCAACTATTGGTGAACTATAATTCCCTTTAACTCTCATGTTTACCATGCTTGCTGGATCTAGAAATTGGAAGTCAGGACAAATCTGAAAGACCACAAATTTGTCTAACCCTCTGTTACAAAAAACTTAAAAGAAATCAAAGCACTTGCAGCCTGGCTTGGTGTCAGTAAATATTGGCTAAGTGGTGCTTTGTTTGTTTTCCAGAGTGTTAGACCCACACCACAAAATGAAGCTATCACAGTACATTTCAAACCAGTTACGTTACGAGCTTCTGAAAGTAAATACACCAAAGTTGCAAGTATTAGTTTTGATGGTAAGTACTGGAGTTGCTCAATCTTTTTAGTTCTTATATGTCATATATTTGGAAAACTATATTGTCCTCATTTTGTAATTGGAATGCTTTATGCGTGGAGTGCCTGAATATATTACCACTGATAGCAAGCTTGGGGTCTCTACCTGCTTATCTTTGAAAGTAGACTGGTTAGACTAGCTTAATTAATGCAGGCAGATTTTTCCATCACTTTTGTGAAGCAAAGATTATATTATCTATTTGGTTCACTGAATTCTGTGAAGCTCTAACTGTTCCTTCTTGCTGTTCACTGCCCAGAAACAGTAGAGAGAGCATTGGGGTGACATTAGAAGTCCTTCTTTGACTTAAAGCAGTATGTGGTGCCATTTATGTTCTTACCACCATCATGAAGTTTTATGGTAGACAGTTTTAATGACGAATTTTAAATTCCACTGTATGTCTAATTTTTGTTCTGCGTATTTTAATATGTATTTTATGTAAATATGTTCTAATATATGTATTTTGCAGGGTGTTTTATAATGATTATGTGTTTATTTGTGTTTTTGTAATGTGTAACCCGCCTCAAGCTGTGAGGAGAGGCAGGCAAAAAATAAAACTGCTATTATTATTATTATTATTATTATTATTATTATTAAGCCAGTTAAGCTTGGCAGGTAGCTAATAAACAGCATTATGCTCAGATTTCTGAACTAAAGAGTATCTCATCCTATTAGATTAACTGAGTACCATGGCTACAAAACATTTAAGAGCTCAAATTAGAGCATAGTAGTTATTGGCCAACCAAAGCTGTAACACTGAATCATTTTACTAGAAAAAAAATTGAAAATGTTTCCAGTTTGTATGTGTAACAATGTTTTTATCCATATATGTATTTATAGCATCAAAAGCAAAACGATCTCCACAGTTTTCTGGAAAAATAACTGTTAAAGCAAAAGAGAAGAGCTATTCGAAACTTGAAATTCCATATCAAGCAGAAGTATTAGATGGGTAAGAATATGCTGGAATGCATTTTAATAGCAGTGTTACATTTCTGAATTTGCACATCAGATTTAGACACATTACTAGCTATATGCATAGTAGTAGCAAACAGAAACAAGTCCTGTTCCCATCTATCAGCCTTGCCTTAATTAATGTATGAATATTGGATAACAACTGAATATTTGTATTTTTCCTCCTGGACATTGGGGGTGGGGGTGGAATGTCTAACCTGGCCTTCATAGCACAGTTTTTTGATCAAACAGGACTGTGTTGGGAAACTGTACATTCTAGCCAATGTAGTAGTGGCTTGCTGTCAGGAATCATTGCTTATGCACAGATTTAAGAAGATGTGATCTGAGGGACTGAACTTATAGCAAGTAGAGTGTGAGGCATATATGCCAATAGGCTAGCGTTACCATGTGTACAGTGAGTATATGCAAGGTGTATGTGCTTGCAATTCACCTGCCAACTAATGATTAATTCTATAGCAGTTTCTTAGGCAAAGTACTCTGATGTGGTTTTTGCCAGTTCCTTTCTCTGTTTATAATTCTCACTTGGTTTCAGATTTATTTATTGTTTGAAGTGAGAAAATGTTGATTTTTTTAAAAAGGCATTTAAGGAACTATTCATTTGTTTGTTCATGCTTTTAAAACTAGGGGAAATAGTTAATAATTTGAATGAATTTTATTTTTGATTGTGATGGTAGAACACAGGAGAGAGCCTTTCAAAATGTTGTGTGAATTTGGACTTGGTGGTAACGGGAATCATGAATAGAACTGTGGCAGACCTTAGGCATACAATGATGTTCATAAAGTGAGATAAACCATCTAAGAAAACAATTTAGTATTGAATAGATTGCCTATCAAACTCTATTATAAGGGTACTGTGTACTGTGAACCAATCTTATCTCTTAAAGCAGTACAGATCTATACCTTTATGTTCTTATTTTGATATAGATACTTAGGATTTGATCATGCAGCCACATTATTTCATATCCGTGACAGTCCAGAAGACTCTGTGGAAAGATCAATATATTTAACAAATACATTCAACTTTGCAGTCTTCATTCATGATATAATACTTCCAGAAGAAATTAAAACAACATTTAAAGTAAGCCCACTTATTTTGAATCACAGTCTTTCTTTACTATAAAATGTTACACAGATTGGACACATTGGTAATTTGAGTTTTATTTCTTGAACTAGATCCAGAACTTCAGCAAACCAGTGTTAATTCCACCAAATGAATCCAGATATATTTTCACACTTTATTTTGTGGCTTCTCTCTCATCTTTGCACATTGATAACAATATTTTAATCATTACCAATGCTTCTAAATTTCATCTACCTGTGAGAGCATATACTGGATTTCTAGATGTAAGTATCTTGCACTTAAGAAAGGACTTTTAATTTTTAAAGAAACAAGATGTTTCCCATTGTTTATTCAAGTCCCTGCATAATCAGTGTTTATCAAGAAGTAGAAAACAGATTCAGAACTGCTCAGAGGTTATTTTGTTGCTGTTGTACTTGTTTATGAAACCAAACGTAGAATCTACCCAAGCCAAAGACGTACAATGTGGGTTTTGTTACATTGTATTCCTCTGTGTGTTCTAGTGTACATCTTCTTAAACTACGAGTCCCAACCCCAAATGGGATGCCTTTAGCTCAGTGTTGGGGTCCCAAAACTCGGCAACAATAAAAGGTTAGCAACAACACACAGTGTTTACAGTGGGCTCTGCAAAAAATGCTTCAGCTCAACTCCATAAAAAAGGAAAATCATCCTGTTTAGCAAGCCTTGGAAATGCTGATTATCAGTAATTTTTGTGGGCTTTTTTACCTATTTTGTATGCCTATGTACCTGGGGGTCACATAACAATTTCTTGGGCAGAAAGCAGTCGTGAGCAGACCCCTTTAAGATTATCTGTTCTAGAGGATTAAGCATTTCTGTGATGACAGGATGTTGATCACTCTTGTTGTAGAAGAGGATCAGCTTGGGGGATGCAGGCTCGGACATATTAGAATCAGCAATAGCACTGGCAATAACAAATATCTACAATAACGCCATCTAAATACAGTTAATGTTCCTCTCTTTCCCCAGTATTTTGTTCTACCCCCAAAACTTGATGAACAAATCATAGATTTTGGTATACTGAGTGCCACAGAAACTAGTAGCATTTTATTGGCAATCATTAATAGCAATCCAATTCAGGTAAGTGAAAGGCATTACTTTTTGTTTCTTTTTTCTTAAATGATAAGGTTTATATTACTAAAGCTGTTCTGTCCCTTTCAAGCTGGTTATTAAAAGCTGGCATGTGATGGGTGATGGCTTGACCATGGAACTTCTAGCTGCTGGAAAAGGAAACAGAACTGCAGTAATAGCAAGTCTTCCAGACCTGAAAAAGGCCGGTGCATTGGATCAAACTTCTGTAAGTGATGCATTTTGTCAACATTCCTTGTTATAGCTATATGTAGCATCAAGATGAGATATGTGAATTCAGTTCCTAAAGTTCTTTTTTAGCAATTCAGATATAGATGTGCATCTCTGTTTTACAGTGTAGTTGTAGCACTTATTGATTTTCCATCTGCATTTGGAAAAAAACACCTAATTAATAGAAATTAGTCCGTGTACAATAGTTAAAAATACATGTAAAGGTTTTCTGGTAGTGTCCAACTCTGGGGGTGGTGCTCATCTCTATTTCTAAGCCGAAGAGCCGGCGTTGTCAGCAGACACCTCCTAAGTCATGTGGCTGGCATGACTTCATAAAGCGCCATTACCTTCCTGCCGAAGCAGCACCTATTGATTTACTCACATTTGCATCTTTTTGAACTGCTAAGTTGGTAAAAGCTGGGGCTAACAGTGGGAGCTCACCCCGCTCCCCAGATTTGAACCATTGACCTTTCAGTCAGCAAGTTCAGCAGCTCATCGGTTTAACCTACTGCACCACCGGGAGCTCCTTAGAATAGTTACTGATGATAATTAGGACTGGAGAGTTATAAGTTAGCTAACTGTTGTTGTAACTTCAATATTTTTTTAGATTTTGAAGAATATGAGACTAAAGCAGATAAAGAAAAAATATATTTTGTATTACAGGTAACATTGACACCTGGTTCTTACACAGTGTTCAGAATAAACTTACTACCAAAAGAACTTGAAGGGATTCATGATGGGGCCATTCAGATCACAACAGATTATGAGGTACTTCTAAATTATATTGGTCCTGAAAAAATGATGTATGGCAATAAAAACTGAATACATTAAAGAGAACAACTGTTAGCTGTTAACAGAAAATATTAGTTTAGTTTTTTCATTCTCTGTAAACTGCAGGAACGCCTAAGCTTGCAAAGCTCCTTTTCACAAAGTCTTTTTACACTTCTCAAACCCCCTCCCCCCCAAAGTTCTCTCCTTGTCCTCTGCCTAAATCAGTGGTTCTCAACCTGTGGGACCCCAGGTGTTTTGGCCTACAACTCCCAGAAATCCCAACCAGTTTACCAGCTGTTCGGATTTCTGGGAGTTGAAGGCCAAAACATCTGGGGACCACACAGGTTGAGAACCACTGGCCTAGATAGATGTTTTTTACAACTTCAGCATGTGGAATGGTGGCTTAAGAAACCTAGATCTTTGTGTTCCAAGTTGCACTGATGTTTACTGCAGTAAACAATGCAATAAAAGTTGAGCTAAGAAAGAATTGGACGCTATAGCCAAACCCAATGCATCTGTGTATGCCTTCCTGCAGCAGGCAAGGTGAACAGTAGCGGTCTCTAGAATCTGTTACTAGTCATGAACAGCAAAATACAAAGAAAATAGAGCATTTATGTTCATCTCACTTGCTCCCCACAGCAATTTTAAAAAGCAGGTTTGGCCACCAAAATGAAAGCATAAGAAAAGTAATCCATGGATGGATTTTGGGAAACGCCTTCTAGTAGTCTCTGGAAATTGCACATGTTCTTGTTTAACAAGTGTTATATGACCTCATTGTTTCATTCTCGTATGCATATAGTTTGTTTTGAATTTTAAAAATTGCTAAAACATGCTGAACTACTCTTCCTTTGGGGATGTAGCAATGTATCCCTGTTCTTTCTATGTTATTTCTGCCTTTGGTATCAAATGTTCTGTTAAATAAGTCCTTGGGAAATATTCTATTTCATTAGTGTCTTCTGAGCTGTTGAGAATCTGTGTCAATACAGAAAGTTTCAAGATCACAACTTCTTTGTATAGCTTCATTTTATTCTGTCCATGTGCTTGCTTTCTGAGAATGAAATGGTGTTATCCTGGTATTTCCTGTAGTGTGTCCTATATTAAAAGAATACCAAATTCCTTTCAGGATAACAAAAATTGACATAGTTCTTTTTGGATGGACAGTTAATTTTACAGAAAATTATTCAGTAGTATGCTTTTATTAACAGTGATACTATTTCTCAAGTTTGCCCTATAGGTTTGCAGATACATTATCTGAGGAATTAGACTTTGTTACATTCAGAGATTTTTGTATAAATACAAAACCATTTCCACTGTCCTGGGCAGCTGTACTCATTTTTTAAAAAATCAGTTTTGCCAAATGAGAAAAAATGAACTAAGTTTAACAACTAATAAAGCAAGGGTCAGTTTGATTACCCTTAAGATTGTTTTGCTTCCTTTCTGCAGATCTTAACAATTCCTGTGAAGGCTGTAATTGCTGTAGGCTCCTTGACATGCTCCCCAAAACACATTCTTCTCCCACCTTCCTTTCCAGTAAGTTAGTTTTTGTTTAGAGATGGAAACAAGTGTCATAAGAAAATGGTTCTGTGCTGTTGAAATGAATAGACTTCAAGGTCTCCATTGGTTCATATGCCTGACTTCATGAGAATTGATGTCATGATTTTTTTCCTCCTATGTGGGAGGTTGGTTGATATGTTACACTGTCTCATTGCTCAGTACAAAGTAACAATTGATTGGTATTTTGTGCAAAAAATTGAAACTATGTAATAGTTACTTCAGTTTTTCATTTTCCAGATCCTTTGATTAGAAGTGAGAAATAATCTGTATTGCAACATTAAATTTTGGACTTTTTTCAGCTTCTTGAAAATAAAGTGAGATATTCCCTCATTGTTTCTCATTCAGAAATCGAAATACTTACACTCTATACATTCCTTCCCCAATTTGTGAGTGGGGGAAGCTCTGTTTCGAATTTTATTTGTGATATTGGCACAATTCCTATTGATTGCACAAATAAAAAAAGGGATAGAAATAAACTTTGAGTACTCCACAGGTTTATGCAGGTGGGTGTTTTTGATCAACTACTGTGGAAAACTTCTTACTAACATTTGGAATGTCTCTTAAAAATAAGAAGGAGGCAAAAATGTGGAAAATGCAACTTGACATGAATTTACATCTCCAACTTTTCTTCCAGGACAGATCTTGGAGGGGAGGTGCCCTTCTATTTTTAGGGGCCGCATACAGCTCCCTAGGGCCATTCTGTCCCTTCTCATTTACTTCCTTGTTCAAAAAGGACCTCTCCTGAGCCTCAGACAACCCTGCAGGCACCATTGTACAATTCACACAGACGCACACCTTAGACCAAGGCTAGACAAAGTACTTTTTCCACCTTCAGCCTATTCAGACTCACTGAGCCACCTTCTTTTGGGCAAAAATAAAATGGGGAATTGTCACTCCAAGAAACATTTATGTGTTGCAATTAACTTTTCAAGTATTGTAGGGTCATTTGTAGGTATTGAATGCTTGCTTTTTTGTGTGTGTAAGCTGCCCCAAGCCTCTTCAGGGAGAGAGGGCAGTCTAGAAATAAAAGTTTTATTATTATTATTCATACATAAAAAGTTGTATTTGAAAACCAGAAGAGGTCACATGCACGACTGGTTTTCTTTTTGCTCTTCAGCATTTTTTTTGCAAACTATCTAATCTCTGGAGTATTCAAAAACCAGAAGATCAGCTACCGCGTCCATCACAGTTGACCATTCTGCCCTACAGGGCATGAAACCATTAGAGTACTTTAAAAATAGTGTGTGTGTGTGTGTGTGTGTGTGTGTACATGTGTGTAGATAGATAGATAGATAGATAGATAGATAGATAGATAGATAGATAGATAGATAGATAGATAGATATGCAAGTGGTCCAATGAGTGGCATGTATGTCTTCTGGCCTTGTGCAGCTTGTACATCCAAATGAAAATTTAAAACAATACTTTTGTGACCCCCCCCCCCAAAGAAAATCTCTTAAAACTGAATGAACCTTTGTATTTCAAAGTTTGCTAATACTTTGCAACTATCAGTATAGATATGTGTAGAAAAAAAACAAGTTATTTTCTTCTTTTATTTAGGGCAAGACAGTCCATCAGAGTTTAAGTATTATGAGCTCTTTCTCACAGAAAGTAAAAATACAGCAGATTCGCTCACTTTCAGAAGATGTTCGCTTTTATTACAAGAGATTACGAAGCAATAAAGAAGATTTGGAGCCAGGAAAAAAATCAAAGGTTTGAGGATTGTGTCTTTTACTCAGTATGGATAAAGCGATAATTCTCTTTTTGTGGTTAGTAAAAGGGAAACAACTACTTCCTTTCTACAATTACTACCATTGGGAAGGCATATTTAGTGTGAACCAAGAGAACTGGGGTCCTTCAAATCTGTGCTTCCGTTCAGCACATTTCAAAGTGTTCCATTTTTAGACTGCTATCTTGTAGGATAATGTGCCTAAGGAGGTTTTGCATTCCAGAATGAAAATGGGACAATAGTGTGGTATGGATTCTATTTCCATTGGACCTCACCTTTTCCTAGCAGAGAACGGTTTAAGACCTCAGTCAGCTTTTGATCATTAACAACAAAGTTTACTACTTTTAAACATTAAGACTTCTAAAAGTTTTGCAGTTCCTGAGACATGTACTTTAACAAGATGTGTCTCCCTTGTTGTTGCTTATATTTTTCAGATAGCAAATGTTTATTTTGATCCTGGTTTACAGTGTGGAAATCACTGTTATGTGGGATTGCCTTTTCTGAGTAAATGTAAGTAATTTTAATTTCTATTAAGAATTTTTGTGTTTAGCATTTTTGTTTTAACATGTAGTCTAAATATTGAAGACGCTTGTATAAAACTGCAATTGTTTCTTCTAGCTGAATCAAAATTACAGCACAGTTTATCTATGCAAGAAGATGCATGGGATTCTGACTGGGATTTGCATGATAATTTGTTCAAAGAATGGATTGGAATAAGAGATCACTCAGGCAGTCGGTGAGTTTATTTTCAAATCTAATAGCTTTCTAGTTGCTTACTGAACTTGAAGGATCCATTTGTGCTATTTTCAAAGGTAAATGAGTCATTTGTCTATTTGAGAAAGAAATGTAGAGATTTTTAAAGTAACAAATGATGGAATTTGGAAGCTTCCAAATATAGCTAATAAACATAAAAGGCAATAAGTTCTTGTGGGTTTTTTCGGGCTATATGGCTATGTTCTAGAGGCATTTCTCCTGACGTTTCGCCTGCATCTATGGCAAGCATCCTCAGAGGTGAGGTCCTCACCTCTGAGGATGCTTGCCATAGATGCAGGCGAAACGTCAGGAGAAATGCCTATAGAACATGGCCATATAGCCCGAAAAAACCCACAAGAACTTAGTGATTCCAGCCATGAAAGCCTTCGACAATATATATAAGGCAATTTTGAAACACAGAAAAGATGCATAAAATTACTCTAGTTTATTCTGGGGATGATAACCTGTAGTTCTTTACATAGTTTAACACCGTTGTGCTCCTCTGACTTTAAACACCAAACAGATGGGTTAAAATAGCAAGCAGTTATTATATTTCATCCCCATTCCCTTCAGGAACTTCTACATGAATAGCATCCCCATTCCCATCAGGAAATTAGTTTGAACATGAATATCATTCTCATTACCATCATCCAAAGCAACCTGATCATCAGACACACTCACAGGCTGAACAGACTGACGTACAACACAGGCCAATTTAGCCTGTGATTATGGACTATGAGAGTTGTAGTTAGCAGCATTTGGAGAGCCACTGTCTCCCCTCTGAAATGAATCAGTTCATAAGTATTTACCTTGGGTATATATCTCTGGATATATTTTTGATGTAGAATGTTGAAAGTGACCAGCTGTAGTTTTTCATGCATGCAAATTCCATCACACATTACATTTTTGTTTAACTTCTCACCCTTTTTAATGCTATTGTAATTATTAATTTTATTTCTTGTCTAGATTAAGTGCTGTATTTGAAGTGGACACAGATCTTCAGAAGGCTGTGACATCCAAAATCACAGCAGAACTGGCTTGGCCTTCTTTACTAGGCTCAATGAGGCATTTGGATTTCTCACTTACCAACACAAATAGTTCATCTGTGAGTCCTGACAATGTTAATGCAGTACTAATAGAAAGAGAACCTTACTACTAAAATTTATTTTTGTTGTTTTTATTTTGGAACAATAAATAGGAATCTAAATTTATTTTATTAGGAAGAAGAAATTCTTCTTGAAAATCCAGCAGATGTTCCTGTGTTTGTTCAGTTCCTTCCCATAGCACTGTATTCTAATCCTTCAATCTTCATAGATAAATTAATAGACAGGTAAGTAATGGATAATGACTATGATGATGATATAAGCAACAGATAATAATTTGTAAATAATGAATGAAGCAACTAGAGGGCTGGGTTCATAGTTTGTTACATGCATTCCTTTTTTGTGTGCCTCAAACAGCGCCAAAAATAAGTTGTCTTTGATATCATTGTACAGTTTCTATCAGGTTCAGAAACATACCTTGTATGTTTTATACCTTGTTGTCAGCCATTTTGAATCCCCAATGGGGGAGAAAAGCGGGATATACATTAATAAGTAATCATAATTATTATAATTTTATGTCTTATAATGTTAGTTGTCATAATAGTTGTTTTGTATTATATAAAATCCAAAAACAAAATAAAACAACTTGTTATTTGTGTACACGTATAATAATTCAAACATGCAAAATCATGGACAGTGCCTAACTCCTACATTTTTATTTTAGATTTAATTTGAGTAAGCCAGAAAACTTTAATTTAAGGACGTTAGAATTTCAAGTCTCTAGGAACTGTGTAAGTAATCCTTTGTTTTTTAAGCTTAATTTTGGTCATTTTTTAATTTATTCATTACAGGTGTTGGAGCTATTGTTTTATAATTGTTAAACACACACACACACATACAAGATGTGAGTTTAGATTCATTGCTCCAATTTCTATCTTGCCGCAAAACTTTCTGGACAGTCTTAGACAAACTTACTATCTCAGTCAATCCCTCCCTCATTAAAATGGAGAGAAGTTTGACTCACCTTTACGGATTTATTGTATTGCATATAACACCAAATGTCTGTATTAAGTACCTGTATCTGGCTATTTTTATATGAACAGCTTTGAGCTCATTCTGTTTTCCATATATGCTTCAATTCAATGAATAAGTTTCTATAAACATAAATTAGATTTGTTCTTGATCCAAACCTGCATCATTGGCTAGTTCCTAATATAGGAGCCTAAACAGAGAATATGCTTAAAGCAGAGTTTCTCAAATTCTGCTCTTCTAGGTGTTTTGGAACATTTCTAACAGCTGGTAAACTAGCTGGGATTTCTGGGAGCTGAAGTTCAAAACACCTGGAGAATCACAATTTGAGAAACACTGGCTTAAAGGTTGTAATTAGGTGTATGAAGATGAGGAACCCTTCTATTTATGAAATTGAATATTAATATTAATAATAATACTCTTAAAATAGCCTTAAAATCAAATCTCATAAAAGAAGTGAGAATATACCAACAGCTGTCTGTCTCTCTTCCTCTCTTTCATTCTCCCCCCTCTCCTTTATATCTTACAATTTATATATTTATAAAGGATAACCTTGAAACAGGTCATTTTATATCTCTCTATATAAAAAGCTTCTCTGTGTTGTGTGTACATTAAAAACAAAAATACAAAGGGCCAATTGACACCAAATTTGGCTTAGAAATACCTCATACCCCAAGATATGACCAACAATTAAAAAAAACCCCAAAAGACAGTGAAAATAACTTTAAAATCTTAAAAAGTACAAGACTACACAGCGCATGCGTGTAAACAACGCCATCCTCAACTATGCTTCCTCACCACTCATTCTGCTTTCGCCCCTCCCACCCAGCACACTGTGCTCCATGAGGGACGGGCTTACCCGAGCACCAGCATGGCGGCGAGCTACTAGAGCCTCAAAAGGTCAGGAAGTAGGGTGAGGAAAAGAGACAGAGAAGGAGAGAGAGAAAAGATTTTTCAATCTGGGCTACAGAGGAGTAGGGGGGGAGAGGGGAGGAGTCTCTCACCTCTTGCCTCTCAGCCCTGGCACATGCCGCTCTCTTTCAAACTTCCCTCAAAAAGATGTGGAAGATACAGAGAGGGAGAGGGAGAGGTGAGTGCATACACACACACATACAAAAATGGCACAAAAAGGCAGCATGTGAGGAGAGAGAACAAAGGGCCCGCTGCCTGCCTCCCCCCCCCCACCCCACAGCTGAGTTCAGTTTGTTCTTTGAAAATGAACTATAAATCCAACCAACTTCCAAATGTCAAGGTCTTCCCCAAACTCTACCAGTGTTCAAATTTGGGCGTATTGAGTATTCCTCCCAAGTATGGTCCAGACCTATCATTGCTATACTTCACAATGCTCTCCAAATACAGGTGAACTTTTATTATTATTATTATTATTATTATTATTATTATTATGACACAAAAGCACAGTATGTCACAGCAAACGAGATATATATGCTGGATTTCATATCACAAAATCACAAGTCGAACACTTCCCAAGCTTCTAGGACTGCTTGAAGTATTTTTGAATGGTGTGCGTAGATCCAAGTAAAGGTGGCCTTTTGCAGTTGACAGATCGTGATTTTGTCGATGTTTATTGTTTCCAAATGCCGGCTGAGATCTTTTGGCACGGCACCCAGTGCGCCAGTGACCACTGGGACCACCTGTACTGGTTTATGCCAGAGCGTTTGCAGTTCGATTTTGAGGTCTTGATAGTGGCTGAGTTTTTCCTGTTGTTTTTCCTCAATGCGACTGTCACCCAGTATGGCGACATCAATAATCCAGACTTTTTTCTTTTCTACAATCATGATGTCTGGTGTATTGTGTTCCAAAACTTTTGTCAGCCTTGATTCGAAAGTCCCACAGTATTTTGCATGTTCGTTTTCCACAATCTTTGCAGGTTTATGATCCCACCAATTCTTTACTGCTGGCAGGTGGTACTTGTGACATAAGTTCCAGTGAATCATCTGGGCCACAGAGTTGTGCCTCTGTTTGTAGCCCGTCTGTGCGATTTTCTTGCAACTGAGGATATGGTCCATGGTTTCATCAGCTTCTTTGCACAGTCTGCATTTTGGGTTATCAGCTGATTTTTCAATCCTGGCTTTAATGGCATTTGTTCTGATGGCTTGCTCCTGGGCTTCAAGAATCAGGCCTTCTGTCTCCTTTTTCAGGGTTCCATTCGTGAGCCATAACAAGGTCTTCTCTCTGTCAACTTTTCTTTCAATTTTGTTACGGAACTGCCCATGCAATGCTTTGTTGTGCCAGTTGTCAGTTCTGGTTTGGAGTGCAGTTTTCTTGTACTGACTCTTTGTCTGCTGTGCTTTGAGAAGTTGTTGTTGTTGTTGTTGTTGTTGTTGTTGTTATTAATCACAGTCTGAATGGCCGCCATCTGCCAGGAGTGTTTTGGTTGTGTTTCTCTCTTAAGGCAAAAGGGACAGGACTGTTTGGCCTTTGGAGGTCTCTTCCTACACTAGGATTCTATTATTATTAATGACCACAGTCTGAATGGCCGTCTGTCAGGAGTGCTTTGGTTGTGTTTCTCCCTTAAGGCAAAAGGGGCAGGACTGGTTGGCCTTTAGAGATCTCTTCCTACCCTATGATTCTAATACTAATCATCATCAATAATAATAATAATAATAATAATAATAATAATAATAATAATAATAATAATAACCACAGTCTGAATGGCCATCTGTCATGAGTGTTTTGGTTGTGTTTCTCCCTTAAGGCAGAAGGGGCAGAATCCAACCGGATAATTTGGCTCTAATTCCTATTTAAAGAAGAGGCACAAACAATGCCAAACCACAATATGAGTACATCTTTATGGTAAATATGTCACTGCCTTTAATGGGTCTTTATAGTAAACATGTAAGTGCCTTTGGGGAAAGGACTGTTGCTAAGTTCCAAATGCCATCTTCCTTGAGCTTGGATGTGCTGGATGGCACCTGCAGTAATTGGCGCCCAGTAGCAATTTAAGGACCACAGATTGTCTATCCCTCATGGTAATGTTTCCCCCAAACCCAATTTTTTAAACAAAAGTGAACATGCAGCATTTTATAATTCTACCATGTAGATACAGGATTATACAACCTTCCTAATTATTAAATTTTATTTGTTTCTCTCAAGGGACAGGCATTGCAGAGCTCTACAGGATTTACAGAGGGGCTGTCTCGGCAGTCAGTTTTAAATGTAATTTTAAAGCCTGGAGAGAGAAAATCTGTCAGAGTAACATTTACTCCAGTTCATAATAAAACAGTATCATCACTAATAATGATCAGGTATGGTATGTATTTTAAATAAAATGGGGTGGGGGTGTCTGACTATAGAAATGGCAGTTGTCTAGAAATACTGATTTGTAGCTTTTAGGATAAATGTAATAACTTTGGAGTTATAACTGAAGTTATGCAAATGCTAGGTTATACATAAGCATATGTATATGTTCATGTATATGCACAGGTGTGGAGCGGCTGTTATTTGAACTTTCATATCCACATGTTTAATCAGACATCAGGCCACATTGTTTTGTTTGATCATGAATGTTCGTTTCATGCTGCTGTTGTGATTACAGACACTGATATTGATGAATATTTGGCACACATGTGGAAGTACCAATTCATGGAATTCATAGCCGGGTCACATGCCTGCCATATTCTGAGATGCTTGTGTAGGAACTGCCAAATATGGTTTAAGGAAAGAGTAATAAGAATGATCCACTCATCACTTTATTTATATGCCATATTTTTAACAAGTAGAGATTCAAATGGGTGTGCAAGGTTATTACAGATAAAGTAACATAAGGGTGTAAACATAGACAAAGTTATGATTAAATTAACAGAAACATTCAAATAATTTGAAATAATAATTCAAAAGCAGAAAAAACTACTCTACACCAACAAGCTCTTGTTTAAAAAAACAACCTATCAAATTCCAAAAGACTGCTGGAAGACAAAGGTCCTCATCTCCACCTTCCATAACAGCAAAGAAGTAGCCACATTAGCCTCCCTAGTAAGGGAGTTCCAGGCTGTGTAAGGCTCAGGGACAGGACTGGTTGGCCTTTAGAGGTCTCTTCCTACCCTAGGATTCTATTATTATTATTATTATTATTATTATTATTATTATTATTATTATTATTATTTCTGTCCCTGTGACAATTGAATATTGAAATGTTTAGTTTGTTATGGAAATTAGAATTGGTGATAAAGCTCCAGTGGAGAAACTTTTTTCTCATGAAAATTCTTATTGGAGTGAATTTCCCTTTTTAGGAGTAGATATTCTCTCATTTCCTGTTGTCTTACCCCCGTTTGTAACTAGGAGCCCTATGTAAATTGGATCTTTGTAACCCAGGGACTGCCTCTATTTCAACCCAAATTCTGACTAATTTAGTTCAAAACTGTATCCATTTTAAGTCTTGCAGCAATTGGCCAATAAGAGAATAATTGTAAACGATGACTCTTTGTCTCTAGCTTTGTATTCCTCTTGATTCAACTTCAAAAGATCTTGATAATTTGCATTCTTCATGATGAGTAATTTAAGATTACTTTGTCTTGTAGAAATAATTTGACTGTAATAGAAGCTTTAATGGTTAAAGGACAAGGGACAACTGAGAGCATGAGGATCGCAGGCAAACCACCTGGGCCAGGAAGTTCTTTGCGTTTTAAAATCACTGAAGCATTACTAAAAGACTGTACTGAAAGTGAGTATTCTGCAGTAAGACATTCACTGAAGCGAGCTTTCAAAATGCATGCAGTGGTGCATATGAAAGACACTAGACAATCTATTGTTTTGTTTTAAGTTAAAAACCAAAAAGAGGAGAAAGTAACCTTAGTGGCTTTATAAAGCCCAAGTCAACTGTATACTAAAACCACTGTTTGGGAAGTAATTGCTACATTTTGTTCATCAAATCTTAACTACCTTGTTTCCCTTTTTTCAGAAACTAAATTAAAGGAGCCGAATTTTACACTGAAAAGGACCTTCAGAGTGGAGAATACAGGGCAACTTCAAATTAATATAAAATCCTTTGAAATAAGCGGATATTTATGTGAAGGATATGGATTTAAAGTAGTTAACTGTCAAGAATTTGCACTAAGCACCAATGCCTCTAAAGACATTGTCATATTGTAAGTGTATTTATGCTAAATACTGCCACTATTTCAACTTATGGGGAAAGTGGGTGGTTAGAATTCCTGCCCCAGTAATATTTGTATAACAATTATTAGAAAATACTCTGCTCCATACTCTTCTATCCAAAGAATACCTGGGAAATTCGTGTTTCTTTCTAGTGTTGATAAAATCTTGTGATTTGTAGTGATGTGTCTAATGCACTGAGGACTACTAGCACAATACTCCTGGACATAATGTCTTTCTCTTCCCCTGCTTTGCTGTCTGTTTGATACCATGATTAGGCTTTATGATAACCATTCTGGTTGGCTTCATTTTCCTGTTGAATCTAGGGTGGTTCTAACTTGATATGAACATTTAAGCATACTCTTTTCAGTTATAAATCAGGGTATATAGTTTGTTTTTTTTGTGTCAGAAGCAACTTGAGAAACTGCAAGTCACTTCTGGTGTGAGACAATTGGCCGTCAGCAGGGACATTGCCCAGGGGACACCTGGATGTTTTACCATCCTGTGGGAGGCTTCTCTTCTGACCCCACATGGGAAGCTGGAACTGATAGATGGGAACTCACCCCCTTCTCGCAGATTCGAACCACCAACCTTCAGGTCAGCAGTTCTGCTGGCACAAGGGTTTAACCCATTGCACCACCACGGGTATATAGTATATAGTTACACATACCACACAATGGACACTTGGAGTCTGCTATGGGTTTGATTCCTAGACCCTTTGTGGATACAGAAATCTGTGCTCAAATCTTGTTATATTCCAAAGGCATAGTAAAATGGCATCCCTTATATAAAATACTAAACAATTTCAATGATTATGAAGAGAGCCTGATGATCTGTAAAATGGCGAGAGGCTATAGGCAGGGAATGCGTATATGTCAGCATAGTTCTTGGCACTTAGCAAAATCAAGATTTGCTCTATCAGTTTTAAGAAATGCGTTTTGATTGGTTGAATCCATAGATGAAGAATCTCTGGATAGAAAGGGCCAACTGTAATTGTTCTTTACTTTTTAACAGGTTTACACCAGATTTCACTACTTCCAGAGTTATTCGTGAACTGAAGTTAACCACAGCAGGAGGCTCTGAATTTGTATTCATTTTAAATGCATCTCTTCCTTATCATATGTTAGCTACTTGTGCAGAGGCCCTGCCCAGGCCCACCTGGGAGCTAGCACTGTATGTAGTAGTCTCAGGAATAATGAGGTATTATGCGTTTGTATTTTAATATCTTGTTTATATCTGCATGTTGCACTGCTGTTTCTAAGCCAGTAAATCAAAGATGTCAAGAAAATATGCTATTACAATCTGTTAAGCAGAAATAGGAAGTCTGATACAAGTGAAGGGCGGTGACTATTCTTGCTGTGGTGCTAAAAATGTTATGTACTAGATACTATTTTTTAAAGTTGTTCTACTTCAGTATTAAAGCAAGCATGTTGACTCTAGTCAGTATTAACCTGAAATTGCATATTAGAACTTCATTGCTCCTAAATTTGTTTGTATCCCATTATTGCACAAGTTGGTGTACATCATAAAAACAGAGCAACCTGGACATGTTTTGTCTCATGTTGTACATGATCTCTGGATTCTACTAACAAGAACAAAAAAGCCTCACAGACATGAACATTTGCAGTTAATTCCATCAGTAGCTGTGCTAAAGTCTATTGGCAGTGTTTCTGCAAAAGTTAGCAGATTTTAGAAACAAAGCAAGCAACTGCATTACTAGTTTAAAGATTCCCCCCCACCCCAAGGGTGTGGGAGACTGAGTTTCTTTCTCTTGTGAGAAACAGTTCTTAAATTTTTGTACTGCAGGGATACACCTTCTCAAGCTGGTGTCCCCTGTTTTAGGAATTCATCTTTCTGGGTCAATTGCCAATACTCTGGTCTCTGGAAGTCACAAGTGGGATTTCTTCCAGTATTTTAACTATGATATTCTGTCCTTCATTTTGAGATAAGTTGCATAAGTTTTAATTTCATAACTGGTCATACTGACATATGCACAGATTACATAATGGATTGATGCTACTGAAGCCTTGCTTATATTTCTGTCAGAATGGTGAGATCCTATGGTTTACAGAGTTGACAGCTGAGTGTTACTCTTTGTCCAAAAGTTTCTGAATTTTCAAAATGGTAAACCTACTGAGGGTTATCTTTTTCAGTGTGCTCTTCCTTTTGGTGATTGGAACAGCTTATTTAGAAGCTCAAGGAATTTGGGAACCATTCAGAAGACGCCTGTCCTTTGAGGCATCCAATCCTCCATTTGATATGGGAAGACCGTTTGATCTCAGGAGAATAGTAGGAATTACATCTGATGGAAAGTAAGCCTTTACTTATGAATTGGATGTTCTTTAGATTAATTTCTCATCAGTAGGGTTGACCTTAGAAAGGAAACTGCTAAGACAACTAAAGCAAAAATGTCGAGGAAATTCAAAATTACTGGTAGTGACTTCAGAATACATAATCCATGGAACAATTAATGGTTCCTCATTTTAAATTTCGGCTCCTGCCTGCAGATATCACAATTTGTGTCCAGAACTGTCGCCCTTTGTCATAATTCACATAACTGGTTTTCCTGAAAATGAGTAATGCACAAAACTAGAATAAGTTTCAAACTACTACCAAAATGGTAGGAATGAGGTAACAGACAAAGTACAAACAACAATAGAAGGACGTCTTTTCAAAAAGAAGGTCTGCTAAGTGTTCATGGATGGAATCTGTGTAAATTATTATTTATTGTGTTTTGAAATGGCACTGATAAGCTTTCCTGTCTAAACAGTATATCAATGACGTGTGATTTTGTGGCAAGATCTTATACATTTTCTTTTAAAATTAATATCTTGTCTCTTAAGGTTTTGAGGCCAATGTAAACATTATCTCTGTTCCATAATAGTCTACAGAAGTTGTATTATATTAAATCTGCTTAAATCTATTACTGACAAACATTAACAACTAATAGTGAGGTTTGTCACAGTGTAGCAGCAGTTGTTTAGTGAGCATTTCACTTGAGAGATTTAATGACCTTTACTTTGCTTCCAGCTTGAATCCACTTGGATCAGATTCTAACCACAGCTCTTCCAGAGGAATCTATGGGCCGGGAAGTTCCTCAGCACGATCCAGTGCAGGAAATCATAAGCAATGCAACTCAACAGTAAACCTACACAGCAATAGAAATCCAGTTGAAATTGAGAATGTGAAGTTTAAAAACAGTTCAAGTGTTTCTAGCAGGACTTCCCCACAGACAGGTTCTGCACAGGCAGCCAACAGAGCAGGTTCTCTTTTCCTGGACTCCAGTCCTGCAACTCAGAATCATACTGCAAGTAGAAAATCCAGGGGTGCAAAGCAAAATCTGCAGTCAAACCAGCATCACGCTCCGGTTTTACTGGAGCAGCACTTACCACAGCCGCCAGTAGTGCCTCAGCAGCAAGAACAGCAGAATGAAGATTCTCTCCCACCATCACAACATCCAACCCCATCACACTCAGAAAGTGCCGGGAACACAAGGCACAGCTCAGAGGACTCTGATTTTGCTACTTTGATAGAAACCATGGATAAAGACTCTGATCACCCCGAATCCCCTTCACCAGATGTGTTTGTAGAGCACCCCCCATCTCCAATAGCAAAAAATAAAGGTAATAAAACCTCCATTTCATCTGATTAACTGTAGCTTAAGAAATAAGGTAAGTCTGTACATATAAAGTTGTAACTGTTAAGTGAGAAACCTCCATTATGCTCTTATCGCTGGTTACTAGACTTGATGTTGAGGAACAATGAGGGGTGGTAGATGACAAAAAGTAGCACAGTTCCAACTGCCTTGCAGTTCTTAAGACTACCACCATGAAGAAAAATGCGAAGTTAAGCAACTGCAACTCTTCCATTCTTTCTTACATCCAGTGCCTTTAGGCCATCAGTTTATAATCTGGAGGCAGGAGCACAGGATATGGAAGAAAGCAGCTTTAGACTTAAATGTTACTTTTGTAGGATTAGGCGTTATAAATGTGATTTAAATGATTACATGCATCCTTCTGGATTTAGAACACATTTCCTTAAAGTGCATATTTTTCAAAATACCTCCTCCTCCACCCAGTGTGTGTATTTGTCTCTGTTGTGACTCTGCTTGAAGTGCTAAATTAAAATTATCCTCAAAGTATTTTGTAACTTTGAATATTGGCAGCCAGTGAAATTCATTTAAGACTGATGCTATCTGTCGAATGTTCTGGTCGGCTGTGTTACTGCTGCATATTTCTGGTCAGCTGTGTTGCTGCTGCTCGTATATTGGTTACAGTTTCTGAATTGTCTTCAGGGGATGCCAAATATAAAGTATATTGCAGTAGTCACATTGGAACATAACTAGTGTGCAAACTAATTTATATTAGTCTTCTCTAGTGCAGAAAAACAATAACTGACCAGTTGAAAGTGGACACAGGTGCTTTGTTAGCCAATAGGATTCAGCAGGGCCACTAGCAGTAGAAACAAATCCAGGAGTATTTCTAAGATATACATCTGCTTCCTCAAGAAAAAGGTCAAAAAAGCCAAGCCCTATGAGGAGCAGTTTAGAGAACTAGGTATGTTTAGCTTAGAAAAGAGAAGGCTGAGAGGGAACATGATTATAATGATTGAGAGGATATCATTTTGAGGATGGAGCTAACTTATTTTCTTCTGCACAGAGCAATGGATTCACACTGCAGGAAAAGATTCCACCTAAACATTAGGAAGAACTTCTTGATGGTTAGAGTTGTTTAGCAGTATAATCCTCTGCCTCTCGGCAGGTAGTGGAGTCTTCTTCTCTGGAGGTTTTTAAACAGAGGCTAGATGACCATCTGTCAGGAGTGCTTTAATTGTCTTCCTGCTGGGCATGGGTTGGACTGGATGGCTTTTTATGGTCTCTGCCACCTCTATGATTCTAAGTGGAATGCCATTCATACCAGATTTCTTACCCAATTCCTGACATGAGAAACATTAAGTCACAGAACATCATTTATTATGATTCAGTGTAAGCTTATAGTCTCCAACCAGCCCATTATAGTGCCCAGGCATTGCTCCAGCCAATAAGAAGAAATAGGTTGGGTGTCATTTCAGTGTTTGCACTACCTGTTTCTCTTCTAGGAACATCACCCTGTGGGAAAAAAAGAAAGCTGTATGGAGAAAAAATAGCTGATAATGATCTGGCTTTTACTGATAGGAATTGTGTTCACCCAAGTGTCTGGAACGAAACATAGCTGCTTGGTGCTTCTGTGTCTCAGGTTTCAGTAAAAAAAACTTTAAGCATAATACCATGTTCTCTGGGACGGTACAAAGGAACTGTCCATGCAGAGCAGATTATCCTCGCCATTGTCTCTTTGCACAAAAAACTGTTGTTGTTTCTTAGGGTTGAGAAGATTCTTCAAGAAAATTCTTGGAGTGCTTTCGTGCCATTATTTATGTATATGTGTGACTACTATGGTGTGTTCTTTTAATGTCCATTTTATGTAGTGTTATGCATAATTAATATGAAGAAATAGTGTTCGTACAAATCAAACAACAAAGAAGTGTACAGCCTTGGGTTTTAAAGAGGTTATCTCATCTGATTCGTTATGAGAATTACATTAGAGAATGGATGGCAATTAATCTGCTTACATTAAAATATTTTTAAAAATACCATACATTCTACAGCACAGGTTGTGAATAGGTGACACTCCAGACCTTGCTGGACCCTGCCTTCCTTTGACCATTTGAGCTGAGACAATTTGGAGTTCAATGTCTGAAAAACCACGTTTCCAACTGCTCTACTTAAGACTATTTTAGATGTTGTATTTCTTAGTACTATCAATTATAAGCAATGCAGTTGTTAAATAACTCTCCATTGTTTGTCAGCATAGTATAGACAAAAAACTTTGAAAAACCGGATGTCCAGTGGGCATTTTCTATAAAGCAAAAAATAAGATGTATGAAATTTTATAGACTTCTTATATTTGACATGAAAGTGGCACTAAAACAAATTACATCTTGTCTAAAAAAAAGTGTGGTTGACTTGAGGCACAATGAATCAGAAATTTTACTGTGCTTTTCATTGAAGTACAGTTCCTATCTATTTCAGCATAGTAGATTATCTTCTAAGTAGAATTTGTCTGAGGAAAATCCCAGTGGTCAATGAGTGCTGCTTACTAAAGCTGTCACAGATTGTAGCTGTTGCTAAATTGAAGTTGCCTTTATCACCACAGGGAAAGGAAAACCGTTTCAGCGGAAAGCTAAGCCTCAGAAGAAAAGAGAAGAAAAAGAGAGAAGAGGAAAGGGAAAGCAGCATGAGGATGAACTAAAGGATTCTCTAGCAGATGATGACAGTTCTTCAACTACCACAGAAACTTCCAATCCAGACACAGAAACACTTCTGAAAGAGGTATAGAATTGCTGCAGGATTGGAGAGAATAAATTAGAAGCAGGATTTAGCCCATCTTGTATTTTCAATTTCCAACATTGCTAACTCTTTTTTTATGTAATGTTCTAGTACTGTATCTGTTATTCAGTAATGAGCTTCCACTCATAGTTGGTTGTTGTTTTACACCACAGTTTTAAGAAAGTCCTGTAACGAACATTCAGTATAGTACAGTCAGTGAATAATGTCCATCTAATAATTCCATACCTGAAGTCTGCCAAAATATTTGGTGCAACTTTTTCAGGCTTGCAAATTGTCCCCAGAGCATTTTGCAGAGCTCATTTCAAAACTCAGTGACAACAATAAGTCAACGTTCGCACAACAACAGCAGGAAAAAATAATGCATTGGAATTTCAAAATACATTAGACAGGATATGTATTATTACAGGGTGAATCAATAGATAAAAAGCAAAGCATGCAATTTCAATAATTATGTTGGAAGATCTTGTCTCACATTTCCACCACTCCTGATCCCCATGAGATACAGAAAAAGACGCCCCAGTAATATATCACTGGTTAGGTAGGATTGTAAAGAAGACACTTGACTTATTTTTATTTTCTGCTTTTCTCTAAGACTAGATCTCAGGTTATCTCATGGTATACATTAGAACGTCTGCGGCTCATCATAATGAATTGTAGTATTGGAATCATGTAAAACAGCCCTCATACTTATGGATAAATATTTTTGTAATAGAAGTGTGGGTGGAGATACAGCTTGTATTTAATGCCTGTTGTTAAAGGTGTTTGTTTTTATTTTATTTTTTAAAAAACTTTTTAAAATGTGCAACTAACATTTTTCTTGGGATTTTCCAGGAAACAGAAAAGCAAAAGGGAAAACATCCAATATCAGAAAAACAGGAAAGTGAAATCCATGCAAAGCAGAAAAGCAAAAAACTACCAGTAATCAAAAAAGAAATCCCAACAGATGTGAAATCTAGGTAAGCGAAAAGCAATGACAATGGTAAAACCATCCAATCTATATTGCTTTCCTTACTTGTCTGGAGGAAATGAAGTGTTGTGTAGCGAGTACTTTGCGTTATCCCACAGAATGAGGCTACAGTAGTGACCTCTTCTGTTTTATTAGATTTCAGTCTTGTAGAAGAACAAGATAAAAATCTTATAAATAAATAAATTATTATTGTTGAGATTTTGGGAAAGGAAACGGAGATTCATGGACAAAATAAAAATTATGGGTAATGAGCACAAGGAAAGTTTGTAATTGCGGAGAATTTTGCACAGCTATGGCTTTCTTTTATAGGCAGCATATCAGATAAATAGATTCAAGGAAACTGTCCACTGTTTGATTGTTCGAATGCCTCATGATTAGCAAATTGTTGGCACATTCACAACAGACTTGCATCTTGTCATATTGTAGGCTATAATATAATTATGGAATAAATCTGGATTGTTCATTAATATTTTTATTACAAATTAAAATACTTCAAGTAATTTGACTGTCATCAATATTGCTAGTTTTTAGATGCTACATGAACGCCTTTTGTTCATCCATTTTTTCGTTATTGTGTTTATTATAATTACTGTATTTTACATTTTACTGTATATATTAAGATTATTTTAGTTACTTCTTATGATGCCTCATAAAAGAAATAAAGTTGTTTATTTACCCTAACACCATATCTTCTGCACTCATTGCTTTTATTTTAGCTCCTTTGAGATGTCATGTTCTTCGTCACTAGAAATTAAGCCACATAAAAGCTTTTCCTCCAAGCTGTCTTCCCAGCATACATTCACAAATGGATTCAAGCCAAGAAACCCCCAGAAAAAAGGTATGCTTTGCCAGATCTGATACTGATTGCTGAGCTTTATTTTTATTTTTCATAGTTTTGCCTCAGTGATCATAACTCTATAAAGTGTGTCACTAACTGAAGGCTAGCCTTTCATCCTTCCCTTTCTTATGATAGGTATGCACTCAAAACCTATGGACAGCAGACCACCATCATTAGCAAAGTTTTTTTCCAGTAGCTGTGGTCAGGAATTAGGCAATACCAGCAGCTCAGAAGGAGAAAAAGACTCTCCACCACCAGAGTGGGACTCAGTGCCAATTCACAAAGCAGGCAGCTGTAAGTATTCAATGTACCAATTTGATGTTGGTTATAGGGGCCAAATAAAAAGCCAGGCTCTCTGACAAAATGAAATGAAATCAAATTTAATACAGAACTTTTGCTTTTAAGCGGGATTGTTTCAGGATTCCTCAAACAAGGGCACAATTAAAGGCTTCATTAAATGGTTTCTCTCGTCCCTTCATCCCATGAACTCTTCTTAGGCGGCTGCCCATGAGAAAGTCTGAGTTCATTTCCTTCTTATGGGCAGAGGTGAGTGGCCAATCTAGTTGTTCATGGGATCTCTTTTTACCTTGACAGGGAATCCTAAGACCCAAGCCCATTTCTAGTCTCTCCTTAATTAGTCTGACAGATTGACAGAAAGGGAAGTAATATCTGAACCAACATTCTAAAGACCACTGTAATACAATTATATTGATGTTCCTATAGTTGAGCAGATTGAAAGGACCCAATTCAGGGAAGGGCAATTCCCCGTGGCACCTCTTCATGGTGGAGAGGCTACAAACTCTCCAGTAAGGTAACCTCTAAGTTGCCAGAAAGCAACCTCCTTCTCTAAAACAAGCAAAACTTGAGTGATCTCACAAACCAGTCCTGCCAGGAGGTTTGATAATGCGGTTGTTTGAGATGTTGGACATGCAGAAGTTTCTCATCTACTTTGCCTTTCATTGGATGTCTCTTTAAGTCAGGAACAGGCAAAGTGTGTGTGTGGGGAGGGGGGGCTATGGAGAGAAGTGTACGGGGACATTAGCATCACTAAAACTAGAAAGTAAATTTTAGGGTTTTGCAATGCAAGTGGGGGGGGTGTACCCCCAAGTTCTCTAGGGGGATAAGGTGCCCCCTAGCCCCCCACAGTTGTTCAACCCTACTTTAGATGGTGCACAGTAAGTAGCTTGTTCAGTGGAGTCTTACTTATCCAACATTCTGTCTTATCCAATGCTCTTATCCGATGCCTCCCTTTTTGTCCAGCATTTCCCCTTCAATTAAAGGAGAACTCCCCAACACTCACTCTCTCTATTCCCAATAAGTGAAAAAGGCAAGACAAGGAGGAGGGGGGAGAAGAAAGGGGGAAAAGAGGCAAGACCAGAAGCAGAAGTGTCCTCCCTCCTTACCCCTGTGATTTTCACACTCCTCTTCTGCATTTGGACACTTCCTGCCGGGCTTCTATAGCCCCAAGACTTGCTTTGCTTTAACTCTTTGAGTCCCTGTTGTTAGTATTCTAGGTGTCTAGCATCACATTGGATGAGGAAGAGTAGGAGATTCCATATTATTTGACATTTTCGTTTAGCCAACATTCTACCAACCAGTTTATGTCAAATAAGCGAGGCCTACTGTACTTTAAAAAAATCAGACCTAAAATGTTTTATATTACATAATTCTGTTATCTACTTATGGAAGAAGTTGACAATAGAATAAAACTTTTATAAGTAAGTTAATCTGATGAATATCCTGTTCTAATTCCTAGCTACTGACAACCTCTATAAGCTATCTCTGCAAACCATCAATGCAGATGCTTTTTTGAAGCAACGACAGACCTCACCAACTCCTGCCTCTTCATCTCCACCCCCTGCAGCATTGACCTTTGTGCCACGAAGTACTTACAGCAGTATTGTGAACAACTGCAAGTAAGTTCAGATGGTGGCTGCATAACCAAGCTAAAGGTCTGGAGATAGTGCCAATATAAAATGCTGTTTTTATTATGCTGTTAGAGTTTAACTTTAGCTTTAAAAAGAAATTTGTATTTAATCACACACATGTGGATATGTTGAGATAGCAGTCCTGTATAGCTCAGGGTAACACACTAGATTCAGCCGTATACCACCTCAAAGAGGGCTTTGGGCTCTGCAGAAGGCTTTCTTTCACATGCTTTTGTGAGAGTTTGCTGTGCAGAAGTTTGCTGTCTGAATAAGAACTGACATATACAGTTGGATATTGCAGCTTACTACAGTTGGATTCTTTCAGAACTACAATGGTTATCGTTTCATGTCTGAACCCTTTTCAGCATTCTTCTGGTGATCTAGAACACTTGAAACATTTTTGAGCACCCTGTGGGCTGGTGCCACAACTTTCAAATGCCCTTCTCAAAGTGCACAAGTGATACTGACCTTAAATTATTTTGACATCTGGTTAAAACATCATTGTTTGCCTAAGAGTTTTGGGTACCGTGGGCTACATTTCAGAGGAAGGAAGTGGAATACCTCTGAGTATTTTTTGCCAAAGAAACCTGTTTGAAATTTTGGGGTCATCATAAGTTCACAGGCGATTTGAAGGCACATGCACACATGCTGTTCCTCATGTTAACATTTGTTATAAGAATGACTTGCTCTAATTCTTTTGGTTGCATTTAGTGTGAAAACTGCTGCCCGTGGCCATTGTAGACAGTTGGGAATCGGACTGAATAAAGAGGAGTTTATAAATAGTTTAAGTTAAATATGTCAGTTAATTAATTAACTAATTAAAGTAAGGTTTATTTCCATTTAAGAGGAGCAAACTTTCTTCCATGACTTCAGGAGAAGCCATTCTAGTTAAGTACATGTCTCAAGCCAATACTGGTGAATTGAAAGCATGGAAGCTTTCCTGTTTGTTTTATAAAAAAAGCTTTCCTGTTCAAAAAATACAAAGCAGAAGAAGCCCACACATTCCCTCTACATTCCTTTGACAGGCAGTGACTCAAATCATCCCTCTGACCATACTTCAGTACTAGATTTACATTTAAAATGGTTTGGGAAAGTGAGATAAAGAGAATTACCTTCTGGAATCTCGATAGTCATTTGTCAGACAGTCCAAGGCCAAAGGTATTTGATCAGTGCCTTGAAATGTCCAGATACAAAATTCCGATGATATACTCCAGTACAGTTGAGCTCTGAAGGAACATCACCTCTCTCTCTGTTACATTTGTAGTGAACCAAAAAGCAAATTGTTGGCAAGTGCCAAACATAAGGTGGCCAAGGCAGCCTCTCTCCCTGGCAGGAATGGAAATCCTACTTTTGCCGCTGTAGCTGCTGGTTATGACAAGAGCCCAGGTAACATACAGATCTGGGGAAGTTCTTAATGTGGAATTGCAGTGTTGATTAGATTTACTAATTTCAGCCTCTCATTGCAGGAGGCAGTGGCCTGGTAAAGCCTTCACCAGTTAAAGGCGAGGTTTCTGGCTGCATGAATGCTCCAAACACAGCTGTTGACAGTGATGGCTCTGACAGGTATCTGAAATCATTCCCTCTAAAACAAAATGCCAAGGAGTCAAGGGCATGGGGAGTAACAGGTTTCTCTCTCACACCTTGTTTGGAAGACTGGGCTTATAAAGCCTTGTTATTTATACATTTTACAAATTTTCATATTGGTAAGTAACAGTAGTCTTTCTTGAAGTCTCTAAATTTGGAGACAGTCTATTTAGTAATTTGTTGTTTGTATTTGATTTTAGAAGAATAGAATAAAAATATTTTTCCCCTTCTATAGCACACTGGAAAATGGGATTCATAAGCTGGACTACACTACCAACTAATGCAGTTTGAACTTCATTGAGTGGCATTGCATGGGTCTACACTGCATTATTTTGCAGTGTGGATCCAGCCATTGTTGCAGCTCTTGGCTCTACAAGAAGAGAAAACAAATCTTAGCGACAATTTTTTAAGTCTGGCCACAGTTTGTTAGGTACACATTCCATCAGCACATACCGATAAATTATTGGTGCCAGATTTTACCCTTACTACTTCATGCAAAATTAATAGTATCTTAGGGTTATTAATTGTGGTTCTGAATGCCATAATTATGGTCCATGAACTATTTGGTCGTGTTCTTATGTTCTTCATTATGTTCCTAATGAAACCTTCTTTTCTCTTGCTATATACTTAGTTCTGGTTTGTGGAGTCCTATAAGCAATCCTAGCAGCCCAGATTTCACACCCCTCAACTCATTTTCAGCATTTGGAAACTCCTTTAATCTGACTGGAGGTGAGTGATCTGTCATAGTAGGTTTTTACAGCTTGGAGACAAATGTATGGAATGTGTGTGTTGGTTTAATGGCTTGAAAAATAGAAGGTTACACAGCACAGTGAATTCCTATCCAGCTGAGGGGAAAGAAATAAAGTCATTGGAGAGACAAATGAAAGAATGTGTTCTCGCTCTCGCTTACAAACAGGCCCATTTTTCTTTAACAGTAAGGAGGTGTTTTTTGTTTCAAGAGTTGTTTAAACCATGAAATATGAGAGGAAATGGATGTTTAGCTATATAATGAAATTGACAAGAGCTTTTTTCTTCATGGTTAAATAAACCTTTCTCTCTTGATTAGGAACTGACAAAAAACTTAGATGCCTAGGGAGAAAGCTGCCAAATCTGTCAGGCTTTCTGCCCAGAAGCAAAAGGACACATGTTCCTACCATGCTTTGGCAGAGGTGATTTAGAGCTAGCAAGACATTTGTGCCAAAGATTGCAGTAACATCCATTTTAGGAACATAAAGCTTGCCTACGGTATAAAATGTCAGTGTAAGTGTACAGCAGATAGAACCAGAGACATAACTGTAAGAATGAATAGTGTCTATATTCCTAAACATCAGGGAAAATCCAATCCTTCCCCATTACCACTTGCGCATTCTCCTGTCACTCGTGTAGCTTCCTCCCAACAATGAATATTTTTAAAGTTATTAAAAATTCCTAGACATACCTTGCTAGTTGCTAGTCCATCACTTCGTGCTCAAAATTATTTAAAATATGGTACATAATTATCTTCAGGCTAAGTAAGGTGTGTAAGACACATAAATGCATTTCATGTTTAGACTTGGGTCTCGTCTCTAAGACTTCTCATTAGGTACTGCAAATATTCCAAAATCTGAAGAAAATAAATAAATCCAAAACACTTCTGGACCAAGCAATTCAATTAGGAATACTCAACCTGAAGTTGCTTTGAGCATTTGTACCCTTCAAAATTCAAAGCAGTGAAGAGTGGATTCTGTTCCTTTTCTCCACTCCCATATAAGAATCAAGGGCAAGTCGCTGCTCAGCCCAGTTGGACACTCAGCATGGAAAAAATGGCAAGCAAAGTTGTCACAGTCTGCCTTTAACGATACTATAATTAGGGGAATGATAAAGTAGCAGGGACATAGTAAATAGAAAACAATTTGTCATTTGGGAAAAAATCAGCACGTTCTCCTGGTTGAGATAAAACATGACTAGTTCACATATCAAAAAAAGATCTGCACATTTCTATAGCACCTGTCAACGTTCAGTGTCATTTCTGGAGCAGAGTTTAAATCTGCTCCCACAAGACAAAAACAAAACACACCTCAGCAAGGAAGTATTATTGTAAGCTTTCAGATCAAGAAATAGTTCATATAAAAAAGATTCTTGTTGGTAGACTTCTGAATCCTTTCTGTCAAGGTTATAATACTCTTAATTATTGATTGTAGTTGTTCTCCATCATCTGGTATTTGCATCTTTTTCTTTTGCTATCAAAAATTATTTAATAAAGTCCAGTTGGTAGGGCATTTGGGTTTGCCTTGGTGTGTTTTCAGAAAAGAAGTTAGTCTGTCCATGTTCATTATGTCCAATATCTTTAATTGATACCCAGTTAAATCTGTTCCATATTTGAATTCTTCTGTCACCTTTTACATATATGAGTATAAATGTGTTAATTTAATCTACTGAAAAACATATGTAAATCTATCCAGACAGAACATAATACAAACGTGTTTTTATCTTCCTTTCACTCAATCAGAAGTTTTCAGTAAACTCGGATTGTCACCATCTGCATATGGGCAGGAATCTCAGCAAAACTGGAGTGAATTTACCAATGTTCCTTCGTCCATCTGGGACTCTTCAGCTACGGATCTTATGCCCCCCTGGCCCTCAAGCTCAGGATCCCCAACTCACACAACTCCAGTAAGTGCAGATTCTCTTTTTCCATATCAGAGTTGCTGATTGCTTCTAAATATTATTCTGGTTCAAGAACTGGCATGTGTTGAACACCCCAAATTGTCAGTTGGTCATTGAAGGCAAGTACAGTGCTACCCAGTATAGGTCAGTGGCCACTTCCACTAACACATAGTACGTACAGCCAGTTGCATTGCTTCGTGTACCTCATGCTGATTGCAGCCTTTTCCGTGGAATATTCTTAAGTTTTTGTTACGTAACATGTTTTTTGACATTACAGGTCAGCATAAGGAAACCTGGTACAGCTTGTGAGTTTCCTCTGGCAGACTGCCAATCTCTTATTTTAGTAGCATCAGTACAAGATGAACCTAACGTTTGGAAGAAGCAGATTCTTTTGTGTTGTGCAGTACTGTGAATAGCTTACAACTGAGATGATTAGTGTGGTCATTTTATAACCTATTGAATTGTTTAACATCGCTTGCACGTCAGCAAATAATCATAATACAACAATGAGTCCTACACTATAATTTCACACCAGTTGTTTAATGGATTGCTTCTTAAACTACAGGTTTTGACACCAAATGGGGTTCCCTTCACTCAGTATTGGGGTCATGAAAATTTTGATAACAGTAAAAGGTTTCTACACGTTTACACAAATACATTGGCAACAACGTGCAGTGTTTCTAGTGGCCTCTGCAGAAGATGTTTCACCTGTACTCCACAAAAAGTAATCCGCCTGTTTAGGAAGCACCTTGCAAATGCTGATTTATTATCTCTAAATATTTGTAGGGGATTTTTAAAACTATTTTTATACCTGTATGCTTAGGGTTCTGTACAAATTTCTCAGATGGAAAGGAGTTCTGAGTGAAAAAGGTTTTAAGAAACCTTTTAATGTACTTTGTGTAACTAACATCTGGCTACTCCTTTTTCCTTGGATGTGACAATTTCTGCTTTCCCTTTTTGTTTTGTGTAATGCAGTCTATCCTTGGCAACCCAAGCAGCTTTTGGTCTACTACCACCACTCCGTTCAGCAGCTCCATTTGGTCAAGCAATTTGAACAGCACTCTTCCTTTCAACACTCCCACAAACACCTTGCCGGGAATTGACCTTGGAAATGAAAATGCACCTCCGCCTTCTGCTGCTGCCGCCCCAGCAGTTAGCAGCCCTGAAGACTTGGGACAAACATATAACCCATGGCTAATTTGGAGCCCTGCGATTGGGAGAAGAAGCTCAGATCCTTGGCCTAATGTGCATTACCCACCTGAAAATTGAAATTAAGCAAATAAAAGGACAGTTGCCCAGATCTGATCATGGTAAATTCTGTAACATTCTGGAACATAATTTGCAAGCTGTTTGCTGCCATCAGCCCCTTGCTCCTTTCCCCACAGCACCATGAAAATCTAGTCATATATCCATCTCTTGCTCCTATTAAAGTCCTGCACTTATGGTAGTATAAAATCGCTGATCAGCTTGGAAATGGTTTGGATTGTTAATCAGCAGCCAAAGCCTTGGTGTGTTAACATCTCCCTTCAGGTTTTTTAATCACCTTGCAACTTCCAAAATGCAGTGATTTTAGGCTACTGTGCTTGATTTTTAAACCCTCACCCAGTATTATGCTCTGAACCATAATTTTAAGGAGCACCTTGTGCAAAAAAAAATGCAGAGTATTTTTTAAAAAGTAAGGCTGTCTTTGTTAAAGACTCAATGAATGTAAAAACCTTAGGAGCAAAAATTGCTGAATATAAGAGCATTCTGTTCAAATTCAACATTTTATGTGCTGTTTGTAAATTTGTAAACCTGAATGCATTTTTAAGTTGAACTGAAATATGCATAGCCAATTCCTTGTGCTTTTCTTACCAATACAACTTTGAGTTGTACTTGAAAATAAATAATGCTTTTTTCACTCTTGTGTTACTTCTTCCTGTGACTTTGAAGCATGCGTTGAAATTCAGACATTTGACAGGCTATATAACAGAGTTCATATAAGTGCCAGTTGTCTTCGCAGTGGTAATCGCAGGGCAGACGCTTCACCAGTCCACAGAGGCTTTTGTTCATGGAAGAGCTGTCCATCCATCTCAGGGACAATTGCCAAACAAGCAATTGGACTAAAGTGAACTTCAGTCCTTCTGAAAGTCAGCTGCTCAGGAAAACAGTGTATAAAAATAGCCATGCCATGTAAACTTCTCTTAAATGGTAACTACAGTGTGAATTTGCTGGCAGCAAACTGGATGACAGCTGCAACCAACATGTCTGTTTTGCTGCTGAGTCATTAAAGAGAAGTTATCTTCTCTCTTGTACTTCCTCCACACAATAAAATCCTTTTAGTAGTAGTTACTTACAATAGGGAAATATTCAGATACACCATAACTAGCTTTATAGAAGAATTATTGATATACCGCTTTGAGTCCCCCCAGGGGTGTGAAAGGCGGTATATAAATACTGTAAATAATAAATAAATAAATATACTTAAAGATGAATGGATTAAAGAGAGGGGGTAGCATGGCCTTGTCTGGGAAATTTTTAGGACTGGTTTCAGTGCATAATAATAGTAATAGTAATAATAATAATAATACTTTATTTATATACCGCTCTATCTCCCCGAGGGAGTCTCAGGACAGTTTCCAAGCACAACACCGAACATACAAAGTAAACGTCATAACATAAAATTAACAAAACAACATAAGCATAAAATTATCGCAATAACACATGTATATTAAAAATAACCCTGCCTATTCAGAGCAATTAAAAGTCGGGCAAAGGCTAGTGCAAACTCAAAATATGGGGGGGCTGTGAATTAAGAACAGTGCTATGACAGGCTAAGCGCAATAGCAGGTACGAGTCTGTGGCTGCTCATTTCCAGGGCCAGTTAGAGAGATTACCAGGGTAATAGGTAAGAATGCAAGGCTATATTCAACGTTTGGGCTGGACTAGAACTGGTCATTCTCATAGAGTTGTTGAAACCACCAAGTTTCAAGCTCTTACGAAAGGAGAGGAAGGATGGGGCCTGTCTTATTTCCCCTGGAAGGCCGTTCCAGAGATGGGGTGCCACCACCAAGAAGGCCCCCTGTCTTGTCCCCACCAACATCACTTGTGACGGTGGTGGGAGCAAAAGGAGGGTCTCCCCCGAAGATCTTTGAGTCCATGCCGGTTCATAAAAGGAGATGCAGTTGCGGAGATAGGCAGGGCCCGAACCGTTTAGGGCTTTATAGGTCATGACCTGCACCTTGAATTTGGCTTGGCAACTTATCGACAGCCAATGAAGCTGTTTTAATAGGGGTGTTGTATGCTCCCTATAATTTGCTCCAATAAGGAGCCTAGCTGCTGTCTGTTGTACCAGTTGAAACTTCCGGGCAGTCGTCAAGGTCAGGCCCACGTAGAGCACATTGCAGTACTCCAGTCTGGATGTAACCAAGGTGTGGACCACCCTGACCAAGTTCGACTTCACGAGGTATGGTCACAGCTGGCGCACACGTTTGAGTTGTGCAAAGGCCCTCCCAGCCAATGCTGACACCTGAGCATTAAGCATAGTCATCAAACATACTTTCTTTTGATTAAGCATTAATGTGTAGCTTTGCAGCTACAAATAAGGATTACGAATTTGTCCAGGAGGGAACTCTAGTAATAGGAATTGAATGTAGTATCATAAGATATGAAACAATACATTCAAGCCCAGATAATTAATCTAGATCTCCTGGAAGTCCTACTTGAATGCCCCATCATAGAATCAGAATAATAGAGCTGGAAGAGACCACATGGGCCATCTAATCCAACCCCCTGCTATGCAAGAAAAGTACAAAGTACCCCTGACATTGTTGGTGGCTTCTGTGCACTTTTAAATAATATGCCAGTGGAGTACAAGCTTAGACAGGTTGTATCAAGCTGCCAAGACTTCACTTATAGCAGAGTTGGTAGAATTCAAAACTGTCTTGTTTTTCTCTAGGTGAGTTACCAGGTAGCCCAATAACTAGAACACAACAGTGCTTGGGAAAGAGTTACAAGACTTTCACCCAAGAATACAGACTTTGTATTGTCGAAGGCTTTCATGGCCGGAATCACTGGGTTGTTGTACATTTTTTGGGCTGTATGGCCATATTCTAGAAGCATTCTCTCCTGATGTTTCACCTGCATCTGTGGCAAGCATCCTCAGAGGTGATAGAACAACCCAATAAAGATTTCATTACAGGATCAGAGGGGATGCTAGTTTTGGATGTACCATCTATTCAACTCCAGAAGGCGTCGAATGGGATCTCTGAACAGGCTTGAAACTCATTTGTGTGAGGTCTCAGATGACAAATTGAAGAACCTAAAGTGGGACTTTTTGTATGTTTGTGCACCCAATACATATAATTCCTACTTAAAACCATATCTGAACTGTTCAGTAACATGAGTGTACAACAAACCAGTACTGATGTGTTTAGCACGAATGGAAGCAATAATAAATTGGTTAATTTTGATTTCCAGTAGATATATAATGCACAGCTGGCAGGGCAATTAATCTTAGAAAGTGCATGCAGCATGCATTCCAGTGATATGACTTAGTCACAAACAGGCAATATGACAGTGTCCAGAAACCCAACAGTAATTTTAGCAGGCTGGCAGAAGTTCTCATGAGAGAGAAATTCCATACTCTGTGTTCCTGCCATATTTTTTTAAAATGATACAGACCTACGTGGGTGCAGAAACAGGATGTGCAGTTTACCTCCCTTTGTGAGAAAAATTAAGACATAATTTGAGTATTTAAAGCAAGCCTGCAGCTGAGTTGGAAGGGGAAGGAAAGTACTGTGAAAATGTGCATTCTGTTACTGCAGTTATCTCTCTTTAAATCAGCAGATAGTTTTAGGAAAACAGTTTACTGAGCACATTGCTCAATCTAGTTTGGTAAGAAGACGTCAGCTTCATACCACTGGAAAGATTTCTAGGTATGTTGGGGTTCTTGTATTCAAAGCTTCCAGGAACATTCAAAGTCATGCATAATGGAAAGAAAGAAAGGACAAGGAAGAAAAGAACACAATTAACAAACAAACAAAAAACCCCGTTACATTGACTTCCAACTTTCTTTGCAGTAATTATGGGTCTAAATATAATACTTATTCACGAGAACATACACTTCCTCTACTATTATTCTCTTATCTCTGAAATAATACAAATTCCAAGTCTTTTTTTAAATGGTTTTAACTGCAAGTCCTCCTTTACTGCTATTATTTCACTCTTCCACATTTTTTGTGCATAGTGGTCTTTGCTGCCATGATCACCTATCACAGCAGTCTTCTGTATTTCCTTCCCAGTTGCTCATCCATCAGTCCCAATAAAAACAGTTCAAGCTTAAAGTGAAATCTTCTGTGTTAAGTTATGCATTTCAGCAACAAACACCAGCAGCCATAGCCTATATTTCACGGGAAGGTACTGGCAACAACCTCTGATTTTTCTGTGCTTAAGAGAACCCCATGGAATTCATGTGGGATATGTTGTGTGTTTTCAAGTCATGTCCAACTTTTGGTGACTCTATCACAAGGTTTCTTGGAAAGATTTGTTTTGGGGGGTGTGCTTGTCTTTGTCTTTCTCTGAGGCTGAGAGAGTGTGACTTTCCCCAGATCACCCAGTGGGTTTCCATGGCCAAAGAAGGATTCAAACTCTGATCTCCAGAATTATAATCCCATGCTCAATCCACTAGACCATGCTGGCTCTCATGTGTGGCGTTCCTTGTGTTGTATAAAGTTTAAAACATCATTTTTGGAACCAGGGAGCTCATTTGTTTTTGTCTCATGCAGATTATAGGTTTCCGTCTCAGCTGAAAGTATTGCCGGTTTATCTGCTCTTCACATCTCCAGGGGAAATGGAAACTTGCTCTGTTGCTGCTGTTAAGAGGAAATGCTTCCGGGCAGATGACCTACCTAACTTTTGTTTTAAGCTACTTAACTTTTGTTTCCCTTACAATGAAGGACTCAGGTAAACAGGTTTCATCAGGAATGTCATCTTACATGCTTTGGGGCAGACTGGCTACTAATATGCATAAATGGTAAATACGGTAGTCTTGTTTAAGACTTGTGAGAAAAGAAGTAAAGAGTGATGTATTGTCGAAGGCTTTTATGGCCTGAATCACTGGGTTGTTGTAGGTTGTTTTTTTTTTTAACTCCTCTGTTGTGTCTCCTGACGTTTCACCTGCATCTATGGCAAGCATCCTCAGAGGTAGTATCCTCAACTCACTACCTCTGAGGATGCTTGCCATAGATGCAGGCAAAACATCAGGAGAGAATGCCTCTAGAACATGGCCATATAGCCCGAAAAAACCTACAACAACCTAAAGAGTGATGTTTACTATGGAAGGAAATAAGTAGATATGTTCACACTGAACACTTGTTCTGATGAAGCATTTCTTTAGTTGCATGTCTGAGAAGAATGCAGTATGGATAGGAAAATAGGTTTAAGTGAAAGGTTAGGGGTACATGGTGCTCCCTCAATGGCTGCAATTGAAGTATATTATTAAACACTTTTCTCTGTAGTGCCTGTACTGCTGAGACCAAAGTTTCTCTCCATGGTCACTTGTGCTGGGAAAATAATCAAAAATTATGAACATGTGCTGATCATGTATAATGTTATGCCAAATCTGGTGGTTTTCACTTGTTTTTGAAAGAGGGCATGGCCATTGAATGATTGGGACAAGACAAAGCAGATGTGTGACAAAGGGGTTTGCAAAAAATAGTTGGGAGATGATCCTTGAATAGTCCAATTGAAGGCCACTAGAACGGGGGACATGATTTATCCTTCTGGGACAAGAAGGCATTTTTTTCAGGGGCAGGAATGAGAAGGAACAAAGGAAACTGCAATCTGAGATAGATACAGGAGCTTAAAGAGGGCCATGTTTCTTCTCTGGCTGATGTAGGGCAGCCAGTGAATTTGCAATTATAAGAGTGCTTGTGTTGCTGCATCTCTATATTTATAAATCAATAAAACATTATGACACAATTCTCCATAAAGTAGAGCCAGCCTTTGTGAGCAATGCCCCTTGATCTTCCTGCTCCCGAAGAAGGGTGGAGTACTATAAATAATAATATAAATTGTGAAATTCCAGTCTTCTGCAACAAAAGTGCTACCACATTTTGAAGACTTTCCCCTGAAAATTTGTTTTAAGAAAACAATCCCCACAAATCATAAATGAGTGCTTATGGAATATGATGCCAGTCTAAAACAAAACTTTTAAGTCAACCAAATCCAAAGCTAGAAAGCAAGCCATAGGGTTGAACACAGTTTCAGAAAGATGCTCATCTTCTCCTGGTGAGTGGGGCCAAGGGAAAGCAAAGCTGCCAGCATATTTCAGCTCTTACTTCCCAGAATCCTCATGCAATGCTTTCAGGAAGGAGAAGTGGCTATCTGCAGTACTTCCAAAACATCAAGGGGGCTCAGTCCCAAAAACTCAACTTTTATCCTAATGTGTAAACAATAAATTGATCCATACTGCACATAAATAGTACCTTACTTGCAGGCCTGTAGTGAGGGGGTGGTTTTAGGGGTTCAACCCCCCCCCCCCGAAATGTTTCAGATTTTTTTAAAAAACCTGGTTTACTCATGAATTTTAACTGGTTAACCAAATCCCCATGCTAAGTCTATGAGATGCAAAAAATTAAGAGTCCCTCCAGAACTGTAAGCACTATCTCAAGCAAATATTGACAATTTATTCACACTGTCAATACTTGCAGCAATAGCTGATGTAGCGCAACCAAGTTGGGTGTGTGTGTGTTAAATGCTCTCATTAAGGAGGCCAGACTTGGTGGAGGTGGTTGACAGGGGCAGAGCTGCAGGCTATTGAAGGCTGCTCTGCCCCCTGCTGTGCTCTTTGCTTCAGCGTGAGCTAGGAGGCAGGTTTCAACCCCCCCCCCCCCCGAAATTTTCAACCCCTCCCCCGAAATTTTCAACCCCCCCCCCCCCGCCAAAATTGTCAACCCTCCCCGAAATTTTTTTCTGGCTACGGCCCTGCTTACTTGCATTCTAAGTGTACTTGCTCCATCCCAAGGAATCCTGGGATACATAGAATTACTTAGTAGAGTTCTAGTTCTATAGTTAAAGTTCTGTGGCTCAAAGTTTAAGTACTTCCCCAAACTACAAATCTCTAGTTAGTTGGGATGGAACATTGTTCTTCGTTGTCAAAACATTTCTGACTTATGCCAATCCTAAAGCAAACCCGTCATGGGTTTTTTCTTGGCCGAATTTGTTCATAGGTCGTTTGCCCTTACCTTTCTCTGAGGCTGAGAAAGTGTGAGTAGCCCAAGGTCACTCATTGGGTGTCCATGGCTGAGTAAGGATTCAAACCCTTTTCTCCAAGCCAGGCCTGTAGCCAGGATGTTGATTCCGGGGGGGGGGGGGGGGGGGGGGGGGGGGGGGGGGGGGGGGTGGGGGGGGGGGGGGCTGAGTCTGAGTGAAAGAGGGTCTACCCTAGCAAACCTTTTGTATCGTTACCCCAATACCCCCATGCATATGGGATATATTGAGCATGGTGATCAGATCATGATATGAATAGACATAACAGTTTAAATAATGTACCAGTAAGGCCTTCTCGCGGACCACCATGAGAATTTTGGGGGGGGGGGGGCTGAAGCCCCTCAAGCCCCCCCCCCCCCCGGCTACATGCCTGCTCCAAGCATCTTAATTTATCACTTAAACAACTATACCATGTTGGCTTTCTTTAGGATGGAGCAGGGCCCGTTCAAGTGGGATCTATATTCATGTGGTGTGGATAAACCTACTAGTATGTTAATCTGGATTGAACCCATACTTGAAGTACACCTGCCAACCATGACACTTGTTATAAATAACTAAAGTGTGACTAAGTGGGGACCTTTTCACTATTGCCAAATCACTGTATTTTCAGAAAAGGGCTGAAATTAGACATTGGTCCTCAATTGCGACTCTATTTAGAAACTTGTTGTGGAAAACTCAAGATGTTGCTGTGGCCCACAAAACATAAGCCCACATAGGTAAGCATACAGTGAACAGGACTAGGAATCAGTGGAGAAAGAAAAGTCTATAGCAAATAGCATTTTTTTTTCTTTCCATGATCTAAAAGGCATAGACACTTATTTTTACTGCTGGTCAATATCACCACCTTGTGGCTGAAAAGTGAGTTTGTAATATGTTTTAATAGTCCAGTTACCTCTCTGACATTTTTAGAAGGGTTATGTTTTTTTCGTAACCAGTTTCTTAGAATTCATAGCCCTTTGACATATTGCATTTCTTTGATTCCAAGATGGCAATGATTGTAAGACACACACTAATTTCAGTACCACTTTACTTTGAGGATGATAATGGTCTTCCAGATGTAGTGTCTTGGCGGTGGGTCCATAGGTGGCTGTGGAGCCCTATTCTTGATCTGCATGTTCTCCTGCAGGACATGGTTTCCAGGGGAAAGAATTAGGGCTAGGGTTAGGGTTGGCTTGATGTGCCTTCTTGGCATGTTTCTCCCTTTTGCCCTCCTCTTGGCATGTTTCTCCATTTTGCCCTCTATTTGTGCCTCTTTGAATTCTCCAGCACTGCTGGCCACAGCTGATCTCACGTTAGAGTGCTCAAGGACCAGGGCTTCCCAGTTCTCAGTGTCTATGCCACAGTTTTTGTGGTTGGCTTTGAACCCATCTTCAAATCTCTTTTCCTGTCCACCAATATTCCGTTTTCCATCCTTGAGTTCGGAGTAGAGTAACTGCTGTGGGAGATGGTGATCAGGCATTCGAACAACATGGCCAGTCCAGCGGAGTTGATGGCAGAGGACCATCGCTTCAATGCTGATGGTCTTTGCTTCTTCCAGCACGCTGACATTTGTCTGTCTTCCCAAGAGATTTGCAGGATTTTTTGGAGGCAGCGCTGATGGAATCATTCCAGGAGTTGCGTATGATGTCTGTAAATGTCCACGTTTCACAGGCATATAGCAGGGTTAGGAGGACAATGGCTTTATAAACAAGCACCTTGGTCCCCCTACGGATGTCCCAATCTTCAAACACTCTCTGCTTCATTTGGAAGAATGCTGCACTCGTAGAGCTCCGGCGGTGTTGTATTTCAGTGCCAATGTTGACTTTTGTGGAGAGATGGCTGTCAAGGTAGCGGAAATGGTCAATATTTTCTAATGTTTCACCATTAAGCTGTATTTCTGGCATTGGAGAAGGATTGGCTGGTGACTGCTGAAAGAACATGTTGGTTTTCTCAATGTTCAATGAGAATCTGAGCTTCTCGTATGCTTCTGCAAAGGTATTTAGAGTGGCTTGTAGGTCTTCTTCTGAGTGTGCACAGATGACATTATCATCAGCATATTGGAGTTCTATAACAGATGTTGTTGTGACCTTGGTTTTGGCAGTACTACTAACAGTATATAAAACAAAGCATCTGTGATTCTAAGACACTCATTGTTTTTAGAGATTTTTTCTTGGGGGAGTAAGTGTATCTTAGAAGTGAAGAATTTTGGTATGTAATCAAAACTGTGAAAGTCTGAATTTGTTTTAATTCAGGGTCAAGCAAAATACAGTTACTGTAAAAATGCACCTCTGCAAAACACAGAGGACATGATTGGCTATTTCACTGGTATTTCTCCCCCTGTTGCTGTTTTCAGCCTTATATAACATTTGGAAATGTGAAGATAAAGGAAGAATGGGCCTTGGACCTTCCAGAGGCTTTAATGGGAGGCGATTGGAAGCAGGGAAAGTCAGGTTTTTCCATAGACAATTATGGTTTTTCTCCATTTCAGCTGAGCCTTTTTAAAAATGGAGATCCTTTGTTGTTGTTTCAGTTTGCTATGCAGCTTCAACTAAGTGGAAGGACCGCCCGGCCTTTTCTGATATTAAATGTTTTGAGTTTGCTGAATATTGAATAAGAAAGCTTTTTTAACAAGGAGATACCTACCCAAAGGGATCAAAGTATGTCATGTAGAAACAAATCGATTTTACAAGTCACTGCACATGACAAATTCCTAAGTGAGAAAAAGATAGAAAGATTCAGTCTTCGGCTTCCCATTGCTCCTGTGAGCATGCACACTTACTTTTCTTATTGGCCAGGTATAGCAGGAGCTGCCTAGCTTTGGCTCTTGAAAGCAAAGATTCAAAGCTACAAGAAATACCATGACAGCACAGTCATCTTTTCCTTCTTTTAACCTTGAGCCCATACCCTAAAAACCATCTTATGACGATGCCCATGTTCAGTCTGGAGAACGTCCAGTATGTCTAAGAACCTGGTAAGTTTTCTGTATGGATTTTGAATCTTAACAAATAATATTTTATTTTATATTTTTAACATTTAACACAAAGAGAATAATTCAGCACTGTAATTCTGTAACTTTGGAATGCAGAAACACATTATTTGGCAATACTTAAAATAATTACTGTTGTAGAAAAAATATTATAGTGGCACCTTTCTTTTGTTACAGTGATAAACTGTTTCCCTTTTGGCATAAAACATCTATGTAAGTTTTGGAAGTGACTAACCAATTTGGTCTTGACTTAAGCTAACTGTGATTAACGTATTTAACACATAAAATAGGCTTATGGTAATTAACTGGTACGTCTAATGGAAATTGTAGTCCATTACAAGAAAAAAGCAAAAGTGTGCTTAATTTTTCTCTGGGCAGAATCCAGTAGATACATAGTGGATTTCAGTATATTCCCTGAGTGCCCCATCAGAATTTCTCTTGATGCTTGCTTTCTATAATGAAACTAACACTGGTAGGTAAAGGTAAAGGTTTCCCCCTGATATTAAGCTCAGTCATGTCTGACTCTGGGGGTTGGCACTCATCTCCATTTCTAAGCCAAAGAGCCGGCGTTGTACGAAGATGCCTCCAAGATCATGCGGCTGGCATGACTGCATGGAGCGCTGTTACTATTAGGTTGGCAGAAGCTGGGGCTGACAGTGGAAGCTCACACCGCTCCCCGGATTCGAACCTGCAATCTTTTGGTCAACAAGCTCAGCAGTTCATCAGTTTAACCCACTGTGCCACCGAGGGCTCCCTAACACTGATAGCTAAGCAATTACTCAAATCTATTAGATAACATGATTTAATTTATTCTGTGAATTAACCTACTATCTCGGTAGGTTAATTCATGGAATAAATAAAATCATGTTATCTAACGGATTTGAGTAATTGCTTAACTATTAATGTTAGTTTCATTATAGAAAGTAAGCATCAAAGAAATTTTCATGGGTTTTATCAATTTTATCCTGTGCATTTGGCCCATCCACTGTGTTTTTATTCATCCACTGTTTTATTTTGTGTTTGTTTATTGTGCATTTGCTACTGTTTGCATTTTATTTTGTTATTATTATGTGCTGTTGTATTTTACCTTGCTGTATTGTAATCCTTGGGCTTGGTCTCTTGTTTGCCACCCTGAGTTCCTTTGGGGGGATGGTGGCAGGGTATATATAAAGATTATTATTATTATTATTATTATTATTATTAATATTATTATTATTATTATTATTATTATTTTACTGACACAAAAACACAGTATGTCATAGCAAACGAGATATATAGGATAGATTTCATATCACAAAATCTCAAGTCGAGCTCGAGTATGAGTATGATGATGATGATGATGATGATTATTATTATTTTCTCTGTAAGGTTTAGGTTCAAACTCAATTTTTTCAGAGATGCTAACAGACTGTAATTAAGAGAGGATTAGCATTAATGGAATTATGGCAGTGGCAACCTTTTCCAGGCTAACATTGTTTCTCTTGCAAGAAATACTGTTTCAACGGTTGCAACTATAGCCAAAGATCAGTATTCCCATCCCAATAGATGTCTAAGTTAGGATGGATTTTCACTTAGGAGTCCCATTTCTATTTCACAGCAGCCAAGAAAAGTGCCTCCAATTTCTTGAGATCACATTTTCTCATGATAAAAACTTTGTGTTTCTTTTTCAGTTTGTCAGTCCAGTCCACGACCATCATCCCTCTGGTCAGGGAGCCTCTGAGCTCAACAGTGACACCAACTGAGGTGACTTCTGTGATAAAGTTATCATCAATTGCAGCAGCCACAGCATAAGAATCACAAGAAACAAAGCCTGGTTTATGTTCACCCTTTGTTATACAATGAGCATGGATTTTCTTCAAAAACTTGGCTTTCTCAGTATTTTGATTAATCCATTGATGATAGAAATTCTGAAAAGTAAAAAACATTGAATTTGAACTTAAAGTGCAAACTTGGGATAAATATACAGAAGTTTTAGCTCAAGTAATATTGCTGTCAGAATTAGTAACATTCCACTGAGACAACTTTTCAATGAGTAAGAATTGATACTCATTTGACTAATTGGGAATATTTTTATGTAGAATTAAGGACACAACACAGTTTGAAAATTTGAATAGTCAATTCAAATGACAACAAAACTTTAAAAAGTTAAATAACATGAATAAAATATCATCAAACCTCACCTCCCAACATTTACAAAGTACTTAATTGCAACATTTTAAGTATGTGACCAGGTCTCTTAAAGAAATATTAGCAACTGCTAACTGTGTTTTCATCCTTATGTTGAGGGCCATTATCCAATATTATAAATAAGTCAGCATAAATCCAATGAAGATTAAATATTAAAGACCTACAAGGACAAATTCCCCAGAGGAAATGTTGTTTATTAATTTAAATTTAAATTATTGTCATGTATTTTCTACTTTATGTTGTTTCACATACTCACCTTTGTCTGCCTGGTACTACAATTATCATATAATGCCATTTAAATTGCATTATATGGCAGAGTAGAACCCTCTTATGTCAAGACAGACAGATTTTTTCCAAAGTCGTGTGTCAATATTGTTCTATGCTAAATCATCATAAGAAAATAAATAAATAAGAAAAATTATGTTTTAGGGAAATTTTAGAGACATCAGTGATAAAAAAAATACTTTTGGAAGGAAACATCAAAAACTATTAGAGAATGATGGGAGGGTAAATTAGTGACAATTCCTGGGTTAGACCCAAGTTGAAATCTCCATCTTTATATATATATATATAAGTGAAATTATTATTGTATGTATGTATTTATCAGTCAGTCTGTCTATTTTTCAAGATGGCTCCCACTTCCAGAGAGCAATATGAGTCCCATCAGCGATGGATCTGGACCAGACTTGCCACACAGACCCATCATGACCAACTTTAAGAATTCGTGGCATTTGGGAAGGAAATGACAGAGAACAACAGCAATTATAGTTCTCCCACAATCAAAGAGCACTCTGAACCTAACCCATGATGGATCTATACTGAACATGGCACACATACCCACCATGACTAACAGAAAACATTGGAGGTGTTTGGGGGAATTGACCCTGTATGATAGGAGTTACAGTCCACTCACATTCAGAGAGCACTGTGAACTCCACCAAGGATAGATCTGGACCAAACTTGGTGCACATACCCACCATGACCAACTTGCATACTGGTGGATTTGAGGGGGGGGGGGTTAGCCCAGGATGCTGGGAGTTGTAATTCACCCACATTTTTATGCATTTTCTAATGACTCAATTCATAAAATCCAAAACCAAACAATAATTATTTCTAATGTTTAAAATACCTAACCAGGGCATTGCTGGGTACCTAAGCTAGTTCAACTATAAAGCTCATTGCTAGACATGTGGCCAATTGTTCCCTCTCTGGCTAATCAACCTCAAAGGATTTTTGTGAAGATACATACATAATTCTTCCTGTTTCCCATCTTATCTTCACAACAACTCACCACACTACCATAATTCCCCCAAGCTCTTTGTATTATAAACAGTGTGTGTGTGTGTGTATCACACAATAATTGCTTTCATTTGAATATCCCAAGAACAGCTTAAGAAAAGAGGACAAAAATCATGTAATGAAGTTTAAGGAGATCATTGTGAGGCCCAATAACCCAATCCATCAAGGGAATAATTGGGAGAACAAGGGAGTCTAATGGGTAGGAGTTGGAGTTTTGGAACCAATCTGGGTAAAGGGACTATCACAACCAGCAACTCTTTCTTTTATTCTTTTCTGGTGTTCTGCAACGAAGTGGCAAGCAGTAACTCACAAAAGAAGCTTCAGTCCATAGACCACCATTCTGATTAGCACTGATTTAAATGTCTGCCCATATATTATCTGACCTTTACAGCAACATCCTGTAAGTTTACAGGAGAGTGATTGTGAGACAGCAAGTATCTTACCCAGGATAACGGAAAGGCGTTTATGACCTCCCATGTTGCAATATAAACTGGGCACGTGTACTCATTTAAGACAATGTAAGCAGCTTCTGGATCAGATGCAAAATTGAACTCTGCAGAGACTGTATCATTTCCTTTTCCTAAAAGATACAAATAAGTCACTTTTCTTCTCAGGTCTACTTCATATATAACACATTATCTGCATAAATATGGAACATCATGTCCATTTCTAAACATATAATAATGTATGTATATGTAGATATTTGTATGGATGCAAGGCACTTCTAAGGACATTTTGAAGATCAAAAGGTGAGACACAAAATAATCTCTATCTTCTCCCTCACTGGCTCTATCAACTTCTAAGCATATAAATTGTATCAAAATATATGTTATTATTTACCTGAGTGGCATTTTCCCCTTTACCCCTTTCATACCCAAGCAAGGCATGAAATGGCGGCTCCACCATTTCAAGAGCATATAGAACACAAACTAAATAATGTATGTGTGAGTAACAACACTGATAGTAATTGTATTTTGTATGATTGCCTATAGCTGGAGGTTTCTTTGAATGTTTCCCTTCTAAAAGAGCTTCCACTCTCAAACAAACAATCTATGTTTAAAATGACTTGCCTCTTCAGAAATAGGACTTTCTAATGAGCATACTTCAAAGAAAACGCCAGCTGTGCATTTACATAACTTTTCCTGCCTTAATGATTTTGTCTTAGTTATTTATCTCACTCCACCTGGTATCTAAATTAGACTGCAATTTTATATACACTAACCTGGCCAAAAACAAAAACAAAAAACAAAAAAAAACCCTCCAGTTAAAAACTTATTTACTTTCAAGTACATGTTTACAGGATACAGCTGCTCAAATGCCATCAGACTAATCAATTTGTGTAAAAGAATAAAAGCACGCTGCATTCATTCAGCAATTAGTCAGCTAGATTTCTCATAATTCTACTGCTTAACCATATGTTAAAACATAATAAATACTCAGATAGACCTCACTGTATATAAATCACAGATATATGAATACACAGTAGCATTCTAAGGATGTTAAGGTTCTTTATAATCTGAAATGCTTGGGGGCAGAGAGGATTTTCAATTTGATATTTATTTATTTTGCTTTTAGAATACACACAGACCCCAAATTACAAACATTTGACTTACAAACAACTCATAGTTAAGAAAGGGACTGAGACAACAGGAAGTGAGAAAAATGTACCTCTAGGAAGGGAAATTCAATCCTGAAAGAGTTATCATGGGGCAAAAGTGTCTCAACTGAAGCTTGATCGCCCACTCTTATTTCAACAACAAACCTTTTTTCCCCCAAAATCCAGTTATCACGGGGACAGAAAGAGAGGTGAAATCCTCTGATCAGGGGCTCCAACAGCATAGGGCGTTAACTCCTATGCTATTAAAAGCTAAATCTCTATAATTCTCTCTCTCACACACACACACAGACACTCACACACATTTGACTGAGGGTATACTTAAAAATGTACCTGTTCTGATTGACATACAATTTCAACTTAAGAACAAACCTACAAAACCTGTCTTGTTCATAACTTGGGGAGTGCTTGTACCTGTATTTGTATATACACAGTGATTCAGGGAAAGGGAGCTAAGTTTTTCCTCAAGGAAAATATTTTCAGAGACTTCATACCATTAAGCAAAGTATCCAAGGATGGAAAGCAAAATCACTCCCCATCCCGAGTCTTTTTCATTCCCTCTAAGCTAGAAATAAACAGTAGCCAAGGGGACCACTCCTCACTTGACCTTGTAGTTCATTTCCAGGATATCGGCTGCGTACCGCCATTGGCCAGGGAGAAAGTGAGCACTGGAACTTCTACGATATGGATGTCAAACTCATTTTCACCAAGTGCCACATCAGCCGTATGGTTGCCTTCAAAAGGTCAGTTGTAATTGTAATACTGTATAAATGTAACTATGCTGCCCTGGCACTGAAAGCCGTGTGTGTGTGTGTGTAGATGTAGATATAGATATAATGCCACCATTCTCCCATCATGGGACCCAAGATGGCTTTCATAAAGACCTGGCAACTCAAAGAATAATGTTTAACATACAGTACAGCACCCCATAAAATAAATGGAATAGAAAAATTAAACTATGTTGTCTGGTACTGAAAGCCTAAAATACCTCCCACATGAAAGCCACCCATTAATTATCAAGATTGGTTCATACCCCATGTATTCCAATATCCCTCAGATCCTCTGTGAGGAAAAGCAAAGTGCAGGGAGTCACTCTTCTTCAAAATTCCTTTCCTATTTTGTGCCACAAATTGAGGGCCATTGTATTCCGGCTCAGTTAGGAAGGGACTGGACCAGACATGGGCATGCCTTTTTAAATACAATCACCACAGGCCCAGCTCCAGCCCCTCAGGAGAAAGGCTGCCCAGACCCTGAAGAAGAGAAGGGAAAGGCCTCCACCTGCCTCACATGCTGTGTCCACCAGAAATTAATCCTGGTATTTCAGCCCCACCTGCGAGAGGAGATCCGCATTCAGCACACTCTCAGTGCAGTCAAAGCATCCACAAGCGTCCAGACCCCACAGGCCACATAAAATGACATGGCAGGCCTTGAGTTTGACACATGTCCTCTCCCCTCAATAGGAGCATCTCAAGAAAAAGTTTAGGAGTTGGCACTGAATGTGCAACTTTCCCCAAAGTCAGTAGGGAGTGGCAGACAGCACAAAGTTTCGGCTTTTGGAAATTTCAGATTTTGGCTTTCCAAATAAGGGAGACTTGGCTTGCAATACACCTCATTTGTGAACTGATCAAAACAGAGGCGGGGGTTCTTAACAGGCTTCTTCTGATCACTTACCTTCAATATTTCCTCCCATGATGAACACATTTTTAAGTTTTTTAGGAAGGTCTGGATCCATTTTCACTGCCAGTGCTAAATTTGTCAAGGGTCCAACAGCAACCAGAGAAACCTATAAAATAGTCATGATAATGCTCAGTAGGAACACCACTCTATAAGTGTCATTTCCTAGGATCAAGTTATTGTTACAGATAAAGTACAGACTGTAGTCAATTTTCTTTTGCTAAGTTAAAAGACTATATAATACAACCACACAAGCAGGACTTGGTAAGTTCCTGGCTCAAATTACAGTACAATTAATATTACACTATCCAGAACATTAATACTGGGATCTTGGATATTAATACCCTGTCCACAATTAAGCCTGGTTAGAGTTGCCTTGTTTAAAATAAATTAAAATACAGTGTATCTGCTCATCTTCCAAGGGTGCTCCCTGCCACTACCCTTAGAGCATCCACCCAGTCAGTGGTCAAAATATTGCTGTTTTCTTATTCCCATCAGATTGTTTTAAAATCATTATTTGATCATAATGGATCACTCCCAAACACAGCTCATCTTTAATACAACCCAAAAGTTGGCTCTAAAGGTGGACTGCAGGTAGAATGTATTTGAACAGGAATGGAGGAATACAGGAATAAAAAATATGGAAAATATGCGTTCTTTTGCTATAAAATGCAGTTTCCAAGCCCTGTACCAAAGATATTTGATACATCTTGATAATTTTGATCTGTACTCCTAGTCAACAATATGCTGCCACCCATAATTCAGGGTTTTTTTAAAAAAAATTTAGTACCTTTTGAAAACAAACTTCACATATGTATTTGGATTTGTGACTAAAAAAATTCAGGAGTGAACACCTGAAGAGGATCTCCACACCATCACTTACAATAAAATTTGGCTTTTACAGAGTGACCATGTCATCTCACCTGACCTGGTCGCTCATTGACTATTCTTAGTATTGCAAGTACAGCATGTTCTTTCTGCAGAAGGTCTAAACTTGGAGAATGTAGATCTGGAACATCACCGAAACCATCTTTTCCATAATAGAATGTATCCACCAATGGCTCACCAAGTATGGAAGCAGAAGCTCCAGAATAAACTGGAATCTATAAAAGATAATATATCAATAGAAAATGTTTTAATGTCAGTCAATTACAATCCTCATAATTATATTTCTACAAAGGAAAAAAACTATGATTTTCAAGATCAAATCAGGGTTTAGTTTAAGAAAAAGGTTGGGTTAGCTGCACTTTGTTTATGCATACATTTGAATATTTTAATTTGACACAATGGTGCGTCTTATAAGAGGGAATAGTTCCCCTGTGGAAACAGAAAGAGATGAATCTATGGAAGTGTGTTGACAGTCTGTGAAGTGACCAATGTCAAACATTTTTAATATATCATAACCTTTTTTAAGGGATACAATTAACATATGGTATAAAATGGGTGTGTGTGTGTGTATGTATGTATGTATGTATGTATGTATGTATGTGTGTATATGTATATGTATGTATGTATGTATGTATGTGTGTGTGTGTGTGTGTGTATATATATATATATATATATATATATATATATATATATATATATCAGCATTTCCACGTTCTCCAATAGCACATATTACAGCTTTAGAAAAAATGCATATAGAGGACAGAGTAGAACAGTTTAAACAATGGAAGGCTACACAAGTTTTTAGACTTAAAGATCTTTTTACATTAGGGTAAACTGATAACAAGGGAGCAACTGAAATTTAAAAAATATGTTAAATATGTTAAAAATATGTTACAGAGCAAATACTAGAGTTAGTAGAAAGGTTAGCTACAATATCAAGAAATTCAAGAGCTCTTACAAAATATGGACTGTTGTGTCAGAGAAATTTGTAACACAACTTTACTGTTTAGTGACACAACTTTGCTAATTGAAGAAAAGTTCCACACTCAATCAGAGGCTAGAATTTCTTGATATCAAAAGAAATTACAGAGATGGAGTGGGCTAAAATGTATTCTTCAGCTCTGTCAGATTTAGTGTTTGAAAATATAAGAGAACCCATATTCAAAATTTTATATTAGACTCCTGAAGAATGAGTAACATTTATTATAATGTGGCATCATTCTGTAAGAGAGATTGTAATATCTTAGATACATTGTATCATATATGAGTTCCTTTTTAAAAAGTGAACCAGTCATTGGTACAGTCATACTGGCATTACATGTAGAAACACAAACATATATGGGCAATATCAAGATGTCAATTGCTAACTATTTAAGCCCCACATGATAATAACATGAAATATATTTTGAATATTACTCATTAGGAGAAGTTTACCTCCAGTTTATTACAAACATGTAACACACGGAGTGCATTTCTAGATGTATTTTGCAACTGACTGTTTCCGTAACAGCAAGTTATCCCAAGAACTTCAACATCTGGAGATTCTAGAGCTATCATTAGCGCTACAGCATCATCAACACCCGGGTCAACATCAACCAGCAGAAACTTCTTCATTCTGGAAATACCTGCGAAAAAGTGGCATTAATAATTTAAAAAGACAACCTGTGTATCAAATGAAGGGACAAGTGAGCAGAGGAGTAAAGCTACATGCTAATAAGATCTAGTTCAACAATGCCATGCTCCTCGATCCCATAGTAAAAAATGGTAGCAGAAATGTAGATGGAGAAATCTGACTTATTTCAAGCTCCATGGCCTCATTTTCTTTCCCCGTCCTCAGCTTAGAGCAACAACAGGATCATGGCCAACAATAGCCTTCTTTCCAATAGGCTGAATGCAGAACAGTTATTGGCATGTCCATCAGCAACATGTCACCATGTCCATCAGTATATACATTTTTTCATGTCAGGATGACTTGAGAAACTGCAAGTCGCTTCTGATGTGAGAGAATTGGTAGTCTGCAAGGATGTTGCCCAGGGGATGCCCAGATATTTTAACATCCTGTGGGATGATACATATAGAAGACATACATATTTTTCATAGATTTAAAAGCAAAAGTATATGTGTATGTTTGCCCAGTTGTATACCAAAGACTCCTACATGGCTTGATGTATCTGAATCAGACAAGGCAGACTTACTCTTCATTGTCCCACTTAAAATAATTGAGGGACTTGAATGAAAATACCTCCTTCAGGTCCAGAGCTGAGGGGAAGAAAAGAAGAAAGCAGATTGTCTGTAGCTAGGTGAAGGATTGGCTTTGGATAGGTGATATGGCTCTTAGTGATGACACAGGGAAAGAAAGTGAAGCGGCTTGGCTGCTGCTTGGTGGCATGTTTATGAAGGAAAAGAAAGCAAGCAAGAAAGGGAAAATAAGGGAAAGAAAGAAAGGGAGGGAGACAGAAGGAAGGAAGGGGGAAGGAAGAAATAGGAGGTAAGGAAGAGAAAGGAAAGGAGGAAGGGTACAAGGGGAGGGGAGGAAAGGGAAAAGGAATGGAAAAGAAAGGAAGGGAAGAAAGAAAGGATGAAAGGAGGAAGGGAAGAAAGTATGGAGGGTGGGATGAAAGAAAAAAAGAAGGGTGGTGAAAGGAAGGAAGGAAAGAAGGAAGGAAGAAAAGAAGAAAGGAAAGGAGGGAAGCTGTATGAGGTAAAGCAAGGGAAGAAAGAAAGAACAAAGAGAGGGAGAAAGTGTATGAGCTACAAAGAAAGTATGTCCAAAGAGACTTGCTGTGGAGTAGATCTTCTCAGAGCTGGAGAAGGGAGAAAACGGGGGGGGGGGGGGGAGTGGCCCTCTCTGACCCCCAGACAATGCTGTGTATATCTAGGCATGGGCAAACTTCAGCCCTCCAGGAATTTTGGACTTCAACTCCCACAATTCTTAAAAGCCAACATGCCCATCAGTTAGGCTGTTAGGAATTGTGGGAGTTGAAGTCCAAAACACTTGGAGGCAGGCATGTAGCTGGGGGGGGGGGGGCTTGAGGGGCTTCAGCCCCCTCCCCCCCCCGAAATTCTCATGGTGGTTCGCGAAAAGGCCTTACTGGTGCATTATTTAAACTGTTATGTTTATTCATATCATGATCTGATCACCATACTCAATATATCCCATATACATGGGGGTATTGGGGTAATGATACAAAAGGTTTGCTAGGCTAGACCCTCTTTCACTCAGACTCAGCCCCCCCCCCAAAACTCAGCCCCCCCCCAAAAACCCCCCTGAAAAAATTCAGCCCTGCCCCCCCCGAAACGAAATCCTGGCTACGGGCCTGCTTGGAGGGCCTAAGTTTGCTCATGCCTAGATACACACACAAAGCCCTAAGCTTAGTCTCTGTTCATTGTCACCACCATGATTACTATTTAATAAGAAGGTGTAGATGCAATGGAAAGTACACCACAAGTTTAATTCCAACTAAGGTATGAAAGAGATTGTACTGTTATGGATTCTTTCAGGCATTCCATCTGTACAACTAGAAGAAATTTAGCATTTACTCTGCATTATTAGAAATTCAGCAAGAGCATAAGGACTGCTGTATCTTGTTTTGAAATAAAAGAGTTTTCTCAAATACCAAATTACTACATGAATGAGTGACCGTGATTGAAATTCCTAGCTTTGTGTTGTTGGTCCCATGCTGTGTAATGCCTCGATCACATTTAGGTGGGAAAGAAAGTTCATTCGTTCAGTCGTCTCCGACTCTTCGTGACCTCATGGACCAGCCCACGCCAGAGCTCCCTGTCGGCCGTTACCACCCCCAGCTCCCTCAAGGTCAGTCCAGTCACTTCAAGGATGCCATCCATCCATCTTGCCCTTGGTCGGCCCCTCTTCCTTTTGCCTTCCACTTTCCCCAGCATAATTGTCTTCTCTAGGCTTTCCTGTCTCCTCATGATGTGGCCAAAGTACTTCAACTTTGTCTCTAGTATCTTTCCCTCCAGTGAGCAGTCGGGCTTTATTTCCTGGAGGATGGACTGGTTGGATCTTCTCGCAGTCCAAGGCACTCTCAGAACTTTCCTCCAACACCACAGCTCAAAAGCATCGATCTTCCTTCGCTCAGCCTTCCCTAAGGTCCAGCTCTCACATCCGTAGGTTATTACAGGGAATACCATGGCTTTGACTAGGCGGATCTTTGTTGCCATTCTGATGTCTCTACTCTTTACTATTTTATCGAGATTGGACATTGCTCTCCTCCCAAGAAGTAAGCGTCTTCTGATTTCCTGGCTACAGTCTGCATCTGCAGTAATCTTTGCACCTAGAAATACAAAGTCTGTCACGGCCTCCACATTTCTCCCTCTATTTTCCAGTTGTCAATCATTCTTGTTGCCATAATCTTGGTTTTTTTGATTTAGCTGCAACCCAGCTTTTGCGCTTTCTTCTTTCACCTTGATTAGAAGGCTCCTCAGCTCCTCCTCGCTTTCGGCCATCAGAGTGGTGTCATCTGCATATCTGAGGTTGTTAATGTTTCTTCCAGCAATTTTCACCAAAGCTTTGCATTCATCCAGCCCCGCACATCGCATGATGTGTTCTGCATACAAGTTAAAAAGGTTGGGTGAGAGGATGCAGCCTTGCCGTACGCCTTTCCCAATCTTGAACCACTCTGTTGTTCCATGGTCAGTTCTTACTGTTGCTACTTGGTCCTTGTACAGATTCCTCAGGAGAGAGACAAGGTGGCTTGGGATGCCCATCCCACTAAGAACTTGCCACAATTTATTATGATCCACACAGTCAAAGGCTTTAGAATAGTCAATGAAGCAGAAGTAGATGTTTTTCTGAAACTCCCTGCCTTTCTCCATTATCCAGCGGATATTGGCAATCTGGGTCTCTCGTTCCTCTGCCTTTTCTAAACCCAGCTTGAACATCTGGCAGTTCTCGCTCCATGTATTGCTGGAGTCTTCCTTGCAGGATCTTGAGCATTACCTTACTGGCATGAGAAATAAGGGCCACTGTACGGAAGTTTGAGCAGTCTTTCGCATTTCCCTTTTTTGGTATGGGGATATAAGTTGATTTTTTTCCAGTCTGATGGCCATTCTTGTGTTTTCCATATTTGCTGGCAAATGGCATGCATCACCTTGACAGCATCATCTTTTAAGATTTTAAACAGTTCAGCTGGGATCCCGTCGTCTCCTGCTGCCTTGTTGTTAGCAATGCTTCTTAATGCCCATTCAACCTCACTCCTCAGGATGTCTGGTTCTAATTCATTCACCACACCGTCAAAACTATCCTCAATATTATTATCCTTTCTATACAGATCTTCTGTATAGTCTCGCCACCTTCTCTTGATCTCTTCAGCTTCTGTTAGGTCCCTGCCATCTTTGTTTCTTATCATACCAATTTTTGCCTGAAATTTACCTCCAATGTTTCTAATTTTCTGGAAGAGGTCTCTTGTCCTTCCTATTCTGTTGTCTTCTTCCACTTCCATGCATTGCTTATTTAAAAATAGTTCCTTATCTCTTCTGGCTAACCTCTGGAATTGCGCATTTAACTGGGCATATCTCCCCTTATCCCTGTTTCCTTTTGCTTTCCTCCTTTTTTGGGCTACTTCCAGTGTCTCAGCAGACAACCATTTTGCCTTCTTGGTTTTCTTTTTCTTTGGGACGTACTTTGTTGCCGCCTCCTGAACAATGTCTCGGACTTCTGTCCATAGTTCTTCTGGGACTCTGTTTACTAAATCTAGTCCTTCAAATCTGTTCTTCACTTCCACTGTATATTCGCTAGGAATGTTAGGAGATCATATCTAACTGGTCTGTGTATTTTCCCTGATCTCTTTAGTTTTATTCTAAATTGGCAATAAGAAGTTCGTGATCTGAGCTACAGTCAGCCCCAGGTCTTGTTTCCACCGACTGGATGGATGTCCGCCACCTTTGGCTGCAAAGGATGTAGTCAATCTGATTTCGGTGTTGACCGTCTGGTGAGGTCCATGTGTAAAGCCGTCTTTTAGGTTGTTGGAAGAGAGTATTCGTTATACACAGCGAGTTTTCCTGGCAAAATTCTATCAGCCTGCGTCCCGCTTCATTTTGTTCTCCCAGACCATGCTTGCCTGTGATCCCAGTTGTCATTTGACTTCCCACCTTGGCATTCCAGTCTCCTGTAATGAAAATAATGTCTCTTTTGGGTGTATTATCCAGTAGGTCCTGCAGATCCTCATAGAACTGATCTACTTCTGCTTCTTCAGCAGCTGTGGTTGGGGCGTATATTTGGATCACTGTAATGTTGAAAGGCTTTCCTTGCACTCGAATTGAGATCATTCTGTCATTTTTTGGGTTGTATCCAAGCACCGCTTTAGCGAATTTCTTATTAATTATGAAGGCTACTCCATTTCTTCGATGTTCCTCTTGTCCGCAGTAGTAGATCTGGTGGTCATCTGATGTGAATGGCCCATTCCAGTCCACTTCAGTTCGCTGACCCCCAGAATGTCTATCTTTAGTCTTGACATCTCGCCAATAACAACATCCAATTTGCCCTGGCTCATAGATCTTACATTCCAGGTTCCTATGGTGTGTTGATCTTTAGAGCATCGGATTCGTCGTTCACCTCCAGTACCGTCGGCCGCTAGCCTTCCTTTCGGCTTTGAGCTAGCTGCGTCATCACATCTGGGGCTAGTTGAACTTATCCTCTGCTCCTCCCCAGTAGCATTTTGGCCATCTTCCGACCTGGGAGTCCCATCTTCCAATGGCATACCGACATATCTCTGGTTGTACTGGTCCATTTAGTTTTCTTGGCAAGGATACTGGAGTGGTTTGCCATTGCCTTCCCCAGGGATCACGCTTGGTCTGACCTCTCTGCCACAACCGTCCCGTCTTGGGTGTCCCTTCACGGTTTCGCTCATGACATCATTGAGGTGCTCAAGCTCCAGCGCCCCGACAAGGCGGTGATCCTTTGCTGGATCCTTTGCTGGGAAAGAAAAGCATGTATTAAAGTACTCTTGCAATCTCTTTCCCCCTGCCTCTCTCTCTATATATGTGTGTGTGTGTGTTTGTGTTATTATTAAACGGCAATCAATTCCTGTTTTAGATTATAAAGACAGTCATTCAACCAATAGTGAATGGTGATATTTGTTTTCATTAATCATAAGACAAATGAAGTTAGACAGGCGCCTTCCCTTATGGCCTTTCGTAAGGGCCTGAAAACATGGCTCTTCGAGATGGCCTTCAATTGAGTGCTATGTTACTGGAATTGACGACCGGAATGGACTGCGATTATGAGACGGATTATGACCCTATGATATGACGAAGCGGATTTTTAGTATAGTAGTGTTATGTAGTAGTAGAATGTTGTGTATTGTTGTTTTATTGTAAGCCGTCTTTTCTATGTTGTTGTACACCGCCACGAGTCGCCCCAGGGCTGAGAGTGGCGGTCTATAAGTGCAAGAAATAAATAATAATAATAAATAATAAATAAATGTTATGTTATTAATTACTTAAATGTTGTATTTCATCATTCTACTTTCACTTGACTTAGCCGACGGTTTGTTGACCGAAATAAAGGCGACTGACTGACTGACTGATATATATATGTGAATGCCTGGGTGTACTTGTACTAATTAAATTCCTCTATTTGTCAGGTAGCTGTTATGTGGTAACTTTGGCAGAAAATGTGTATTGTATTATGTCATTTTACTTATAATCTGCTATTCCTGCAATCATTCCCCTGGTACTCAATGGCAAACGTGGGTCCTCCAGGTGTTTTGGACTTCAACTCCCACCATTTTGGACTTCAACTCCCAGCCACTTAAGTGGCTCAGGGGGAAAAAGGAAAGGGCTTGAGGCTGTTAGGAATGATGGGAGTTGAAGTCCAAAACAGCTGGAGGGCCCAAGTCTGCCCATGCCTTCTGTAGACATTATTATTGGTATAATAACAAGGCATAAGGTTACAGCCTATGTCAGACGGGGTTACACTCCCCCTGAAGGCACAGGTTTGCAGCTTGTGAGTGACCCTGGACTCATTGCTGAGCTTGGAACGCCAAGTTTCGGCGGTGACCAGGAGAGCATTTGCACAGTTAAAACTTGTGTACCAGCAGCACCCATACCTTGGGAAGTCTGACTTGGCCATGGTGGTCCACGCTCTTGTTACATCCCAAATAGATTACTGCAACACGCCCTACGTGGGGTTGCCTTTGAACACTGTTCAGAAGCTTCAAATGATCCAAAGGGTGGCAGCCAGGTTACTAACAGGAGTGGCACTCAAGGAACCCTCTTGCATCAGCTCCACTGGCTGCCAATTTGCTACCGAGCACAATTCAAAGTGCTGGCTTTAGCCTATAAAGCCCTAAATGATTGCAGCCCAGCTTACCTGTCTGAATGTATCTCCTCCTATGAACCATCTAGGAGCTAAAGATCATCTGGGGAGGCCCTGCTCTCGATCCCACCTGCCTCGCAAGTGTCATTGGCAGAGACGAGGTACAGAGTCTTCACAGTGGTGGCCCCCCGGCTATGGAACTCCCTTCCCAGGAATATTAGATTGGCCCCCTCCCTCCTGGCCTTCTGAAAAAAAGTAAAGATCTGGCTCTTTGAGCAAGCTTTTGAGAATGCAGAGGAATAGATAACACGGAACTATGAATGATGAACATGGAATGGCCAGACGATGTTACTGGATATCGTTTTTAACAAGATGACACCGATGATTATATGCTTTAACAGGTTTTATTTATATTTTATATTGTAATGTTGATTGTTTTGAACGGCACTTTTATGAACGCCTGACATCAAATTGTGCCAATCTGTAACTCACCTCGCCGTATGGCTGAGAAAAGCGGGCTATAAATATCACAAATAAATAAATACATATTACTGCATTTTTTGGATGTAGAATTCGTGTATGAGGAGCTGACTTGTTAAACCAGATTCGCAGAAATGCGTCACAGTGGCCTAATTTTAGTGTTATCACAGATAAGAACTAGCTTTCTAAGCACTTGGCAGCAAAATCAAAGTGAGTATTTGGCAAGCATGTGCTGCTTTCTATGGTGGAAGTGGGAGGACCTGCCCTACACACATTAACGTGGGGCATTTTATGGATGAAGGCGAAAAAACTTTACGCTTTGGGAGAACAGCTCCCCAAAACCCACAGCAGCCATGCCTTCTCTGTGTGTGTGTGTGTGTGTGTGTGTGTGTTCTGGAAGCCAGAGTCTCCCAAGCAACGCTTCGGGGGGAAAAAGACAGGCGCGAGGGACAGCCGCTGTCAATCAAACCCTCACGCGCACAAGGGAGGGGCGGGCTTGAAGGGATGGGGAAGAGTAACGGCTGCTTCTCCTTCACACAATGAGACCCTTCCCTCAAGTTCTGGCACGCTGCCTACCTTCGCACGCGCTCCCACTTCAGCCGTTGCTTCGTCCAGCGCTCGCGGAGGCAAGCTGGCCAATCAGGAGCCGCTGCCTCTGGATAAGCCCCACCCTCCCGCCTGGAGTCCTTCAGTTTGATTGGTTGGAACAGGTGGTCACAGCTGTGGAAACTGAAACGATCGCCTCAACTGGGAAAAGAGTAGTTCTGCCTGACCTGCCCATCTCCCCCTGCTTGCTGCAGTCCAGTTTGAAAGGCACCATTTGCCCTGAGAAGCAAAGAGAATCTATTCAGGCCTGGGCCAACTTCGCCCCTCCTGGTGTTTTGGACTTCCACAATTCCTAACAGCCTCAGACCCTTTCTTTCCTTTCCATTCCATTTAAGAGGCTGAGGGGGCAAAGGAAAGGGCCTGAGGCTGTTAGGAATTGTGGGAGTTGAAGTCCAAAACACCTGGAGGGCCAAAGTTTGTCCATGGCTACTCTAAGCCCTGAGAGGCAGAGAAAGTCCCCTTGCCCTCCCACACTACACAGTGGAAGTGCAATGTTTCCACTTTAAATGTCATGGCCCCCTTTCTGGGGAATGCTGAGATATGTAGTGTAGATATGCCACGATGCCTCCCTCTTCAGCCCTCATGTCTTGCCAAACTACAAACTCCAGGGTCCTACAGGATTTATTTATTTGTCGTGTCAGGACAACCAGTCAATTGTATTACATTTCTAACAGAACAAACAAACAGCAAAACACAAAATTTGCAAGCTTGGTAGTTGATTAAATGTCCTTTGACCAGTATCTGGCCACTTGGAGTGCTTCTGGTGTTGCCGCAAGAAGGTCCTCCATTGTGCATGTGGCAGGGCTCAGGTTGCATTGCAGCAGGTGGTCAGTGGTTTGCTCTTCTCCACACTCGCATGTCGTGGATTCCACCCTGTAGCCCCATTTCTTGAGGTTGGCTCTGCATCTTGTGGTGCCAGAGCGCAGTCTGTTCAGCGCCTTCCAAGTCGCCCAGTCTTCTGTGTGCCCAGGGGGGAGTCTCTCATTTGGTATCAGCCATTGGTTAAGGTTCTGGGTTTGAGCCTGCCACTTTTGGACTCTCGCTTGCTGAGGTGTTCCAGCGAGTGTCTCTGTAGATCTTAGAAAACTATTTCTAGATTTAAGTCGTTGACGTGCTGGCTGATACCCAAACAGGGGATGAGCTGGAGATGTCTCTGCCTTGGTCCTTTCACTATTGGCTGCTACTTCCTGGCGGATGTCAGGTGGTGCAATACCGGCTAAGCAGTGTAATTTCTCCAGTGGTGTAGGGCGCAGACACCCCGTGATAATGCGGCATGTCTCATTAAGAGCCACATCCACTGTTTTATGTGTGGTGAGATGTGTTCCACACTGGGCATGCGTACTCAGCAGCAGAGTAGCACAGCGCAAGGGCAGATGTCTTCACTGTGACTGGTTGTGATCCCCAGGTTGTGCCAGTCAGCTTTCGTATGATATTGTTTCTAGCACCCACTTTTTGCTTGATGTTCAGGCAGTGCTTCTTCCTACAGGATGCCAAGCCATGAAAAGTGGAACAAAGTGCTACAAAGTGGAATAATAGTTCTACCACTGTGGTATAAAAAGGTAGAAGGGACATGGTTTTAAAAAGGGAATTTTCAGAGATGTTCCCAATGCCTATAGGTCATGATTTACTGCCATATTGGCCTTTTTTCTGCAGTAATCCTATGTTTACAGAAAATGCTAATTGTTTGAGAAATCAGTGCCCCAGTGAAGAAGTTACTATTCAAGGATAACAGTACATCCGGACAAAACCAGTTAGCTGGTGACTAGTTAGAACCCCAAGTTTCTCAGTCGCTCTGAAGTCATGTTTGCAACAGATAAGATTGATTCATTGAGACAGTCATGGTCAAAGAACAATAGACTACAGCAAAACAAACATCACAAAGGTGACATCCTTCCCTATGCTATCCAAAACTTAAAAAGATATGTTTGGCTGGAGTTACACTTAAGACAGAAGCACCCACCAGTCTTAGTCAAGGGGAGGCCAATTATTATGAGAGTTGTAGTTTCACAATATTGTGGGAGATTGAGCTTCTCCATCTGTTTTATGATGTCAAATTAATGAGGGGGGAAATAATCATAACCTTTAACTACAGAAAAAGATGCTGGGATCCTGAAGTGGTATAAGGAACTGAGGATGGCAATATCTGTTAGATGTTTGTCTTAGAAAATTGTTTCACAAGAGCCTATAGAGGCAGGCCCCAAATTACAAACATCTGACTTACATACAACTCAAAGTTCATTATGAGACATTGTACATCTAGGTGCACCAGACTTTTCTGCATGATTTCATTTTCCCTGGCCATTTTGTTCTTCTGTCAGAGTAGATGGGTAGTTGTATGTGATCAATACTTTAAAATTTGGGTTTTTCATTTTCTTTTGATGCTTCAAGTGTGTATGCGTATGTATGTGTATGTTGGCGGACAGGAAAAGAGATTTAAAGATGGGCTTAAAGCTAACCTTAAAAACTGTGGCATAGACACTGAGAACTAGGAAGCCCTAACCCTTAAATGCTCTAACTGAAGGTCAGCTATGACTAGCAGTGCTGCGGAATTCAAAGAGGCACAAATGGAGGGCAAAGAGGAAAAACACGAGAAGAGGAAGGCATGTCAAGCCAACCTTGACCGGGACTGCCTTCCACCTGGAAACCGATGTCCTCACCGTGGAAGAACATGAGGATCAAGAATAGGGCTCCGCAGTCACCTCCGTATCCACTGCCAAGACACTATATCATACTCTTAGAAGTAAAGTAATTCCGGTATATAGTGTCTAATACTTCAGGAAGAAAGCTTGGAATGCAGTTCATTTTCTATCTCTCCCTCAACTAATTTTCCACATGGTCAAAGGTCACCATGAGTCAAAGTCAATGCGAAGGCAAATGACAACACAGTTGAGGTTTCTCTCTGCACATATAGAAAAAGTATTAATCTCCCACTGCCTCAAAAATTCCCTTATTAATACAATTTCTATGCAGCTTTTGGCACAGTTTTGTATACAATATTTTAGCAAAAACAATCCATATTACGTATTTGTTGCTATGTGCCTTCAAATCATTTCCAAATTATGATGACCTTAAAGCAAACCTATCATGGGGTTTTCTATGCAAGATTTGTTCAGATAGTAATGGATCATGGGCCATACTATCACCATTGAGCAAACTAACAAAAGATCCATGATAAACTCCCCCGTGGCAACTCAGTCATTGGGCAGCTTTCCTAGTTGAATTTCCTTTTTCTTGTTCCTTAAAATGAGAAAACACCCAAAAGCAATTGACTGATATAGCAAACTATGAGGCCTTTGGTACTCCAAATGTATCAACGTCCAGAAGCCACATAGTCACAAAACAAAGTGTGGGTGGTCTAGTCCAAAACAACTGGAAAGCTGGTGCTTCCCCTGCTTCTGCTCCTGGTAGACATATAAGTAGTTATTGTTATTATATTGCTGATTTTGATATTTTGCATTTTATTGTTACAAGGTGTTCTGAACTATTTCCTGAAATATGTATAAGCTTTAAAAATGTGCCAATTAAATCCATGTGCTTTCCAGCAAAGGATCACCGCCTTGTCGGGGCGCTGGAGCTTGAGCACCTCAATGATGTCATGAGCGAAACCGTGAAGGGCCACCCAAGACGGGACGGTTGTGGCAGAGAGGTCAGACCAAGCGTGATCCCTGGGGAAGGCAATGGCAAACCACTCCAGTATCCTTGCCAAGAAAACTAAATGGACCAGTACAACCAGATATATGTCGGTATGCCATTGGGAGATGGGGCCTCCAGGTCAGAAGATGGTCTAAATGCTACTGGGGAGGAGCAGAGGATAGATTCAACTAGCACCAGATGTGATGACGCAGCTAGCTCAAAGCCGAAAGGAAGGTTAGTGGCCGATGGTACTGGAGGTGAACGACAAATCCGATGCTCTAAAGATCAACACACCATAGGAACCTGGAATGTAAGATCTATGAGCCAGGGCAAATTGGATGTTGTTATTGGTGAGATGTCAAGATTAAAGATAGACATTCTGGGGGTCAGCGAACTGAAATGGACTGGAATGGGCCACTTCACATCAGATGACCACCAGATCTACTACTGCGGACAAGAGGAACATCAAAGAAATGGAGTAGCCTTCATAATTAATAAGAAATTAGCTAAAGCGGTGCTTGGATACAACCCAAAAAATGACAGAATGATCTCAATTCGAGTGCAAGGAAAGCCTTTCAACATTACAGTGATCCAAATATACGCCCCAACCACAGCTGCTGAAGAAGCAGAAGTAGATCAGTTCTATGAGGATCTGCAGGACCTACTGGATAATACACGAAAAAGAGACATTATTTTCATTACAGGAGACTGGAATGCCAAGGTGGGAAGTCAAATGACAACTGGGATCACAGGCAAGCATGGTCTGGGAGAACAAAATGAAGCGGGACGCAGGCTGATAGAATTTTGCCAGGAAAACTCGCTGTGTATAACGAATACTCTCTTCCAACAACCTAAAAGACGGCTTTATACATGGACCTCACCAGATGGTCAATACCGAAATCAGATTGACTACATCCTTTGCAGCCAAAGGTGGCGGACATCCATCCAGTCGGTGAAAACAAGACCTGGGGCTGACTGTAACTCAGATCACGAACTTCTTATTGCTCAATTTAGAATAAAACTAAAGAGATCAGGGAAAATACACAGACCAGTTAGATATGATCTCACTAACATTCCTAGCGAATATACAGTGGAAGTGAAGAACAGATTTGAAGGACTAGATTTAGTAAACAGAGTCCCAGAAGAACTATGGACAGAAGTCCGCGACATTGTTCAGGAGGCGGCAACAAAGTACGTCAAAAAAAAAGAAAACCAAGAAGGCAAAATGGTTGTCTGCTGAGACACTGGAAGTAGCCCAAGAAAGGAGGAAAGCAAAAGGAAAAAGTGAAAAGGGGAGATATGCCCAGTTAAATGCGCAATTCCAGAGGTTAGCCAGAAGAGATAAGGAACTATTTTTAAATAAGCAATGCATGGAAGTGGAAGAAGACAACAG